AAGCAAAAGATCTGTCTGGCATGGGGGTTGTAAGTCTTGTAATCCAGCTACAGGGGAGGTTGAGGGAGTAAAGTCAGTTGGCGGTCAGCCTCAGCAAATTATTGAGACTCCTATCTCAAACAAACATGTTAAAGGCTGGGGATGTAGCTCAGTGGTAGAGTACTTGCCTAGCATGCTCAAGGCCCAGGGTTCAAGCCTCAATACTGCAAAGGCTGTGGGGGTCGGGGGGAGTTATTTACAAAGTCACAGAAAAGATGGCATTTAAGCTGAGCTCTCCATGAAGAGCGTCAAAGAGGAGCAGTGCAGTCAAGGATAGAGCATCTGCCAAATCTCAAAAGCAGGAAAGAGTTAAGTGTTCTGAAGGATTTGTATGGCTCCAAGAGGAGAGCCAGTGCATTCAGATGCTGTGGTAAGCAGCAGACACTTGACTCGGTGCCTCAGAAAGCTTCTCAGGTTTTCCAAAGAGTTTGCGGATGGAAGCGCTATCCATATCATTCTCATTCATATTCTCTGTCTCTCCTCTCTTGCTAGATAGACAGCAGGCTAACCTGGACCTGGAAATCCTTTTTCCCCAGTCTTCCCCAGGGCTAGGATCACAGTCATGAACCACCATTTTCTGCCTGCTTTGCATTTTTTTAAAAAAAAATCAATTTGCACTCAGGAGGCAGAGGCAAGCACATCTCTATGAATTTGAGGTCAGCCTGGTCTACAGAGAGAGTTCCAGGACAGGCTCCAAAACTACACAGAGAAACCCTATCTCAAAAAAACAAAACAAAACAAAACAAAACAAAACAAAACAAAATCAATTTCAACAGGCAGTGGTGTCACATATATTTAATCCAAACAACACAGGAAATAGAGGCAGGTTGATCTCTGAGTTCAAAGTCATCCTACAGAGGGCATTCCAGGACAGTCAAAAATAAAACACACAGAGGAACCCTATCATTAGAAAAAACAAATAAAAACAACAACAAAATCAGTCACATTATTTTGTGGATATGGATTGGGATGTTTGGATGCTACTGCTGATGGTTTGGGTAGGAAATGATGGCAGAAGTAATGGGTGAAAAAAAAAAAAAGAAGTAATGGGTGAATCGTAGCACAGTCCCTCTTTGGGCTTGTTTCCTGTTTGAAAACGAAGTTAGGCATGATAGTACATACTTGTAATCCCAGCACTGGGGCTGCTTAGGCAGGAAGACTGCTGAAAGTTTAAGGCCAGCCAAAGCTATATAACAAAGACCCTGTCTCAAAACAACAAATAAGTAAACAACAACAACAACAAAACCTTTAGACTCGACAGGGGGAGGCACATCAGATCTGATATGCAGGCATGACCTAGCACTTGCTGGATGAAATCTCCATGGGGACATATTTAGTTTTTAAAAACTCAAAGTGATTTTGATACATTGAATATTTGAAAACTGTTGTGGGATATGCACAAAGACTGCTCAGATATGGGTTAAAACAAATAGAAAGTCTTTACTAGCTGGTCAGCAGCTACACTGGGTGGTCAGATGAACTTTTAAGCACCAAGTCCATATTTTGGGTTGACATAATTCAGTTAACAAGAACAATGAGCCAGAAGGCACTACAGAAGCCCAAAGGTAAGGTTAGTACATTTAGAGACTTTCCCAGAATTACAGAGTATGATGGATCAGTTCTTTGTTTTTATGTTGGCAGGTGGTACTGTCTACGTGCTAAGTTTTATGGCCTGAATGGTACTCTCATCATGGAGTCAGCTGTGCTAAGGTCTGGGAGCCTATTAAACTCTGGGACCCTGTTACAAAAACCAAAGGATCCAATGACTCCCAAGATTGCCTTCAAATTAAAGTAGTAGGCCTTAGATAAATACTCCAAATTCAATACCTATAGGGGCCAGGTGGTGGCTTAAGTGACTGCGATAAGGATAGGTTTTTGGAGAAGTTGGGGTATAAGTGCCTGATTGTAGTTTGAATGTAATTGGCCCCCATAGGTACATAGGGAGTGGTACTATTAGATGTGGCTTTTGTGGAGTAGGTGTGGCTTTGTTGGAGGAACTATGTCACTGTGGGTGGGCTTTGAGGTCTTGGAATATTAATTTAGGGTGTGTTACACTCATTTATGCTGTGAAATAATTTGTTTAGTGATACAAAGGCGCGTTGCATTTGTTTGATTAAATAAAATGAACTTGGGGTTAGGAGGCTGAGTCAGCAACTAGCTGACAGGAAGTGGTAGGGAGGAACCATGTGTAGCAAGAGTTCTTTTGTGGAGGCTGAGCAGGACGCCCTGTTTTTCTGGAGATGCGAGTTAGGGGAGAAAGTTAGATACTTGTTCTTCAGCTCCTCTGATTGGGCAGAACTTCACCTCAACTTTTGAACCCTGAGAGTTCTATAGAGGGATAGAGATCTTAAAAAAAAAAAGTTTCTTTTGGCTGTCGTGATAGAGCTGGTGCCTGAAGGAACAAATTCTCACCTGGCCAGTCACCATTGCTAATAGCTGCAGAGCTACAGTTGGCGATTAAGAGAGCAGTTGCTTAAGGAGCAGCTGCTGAACTTAATGAAAAACAACAGTCTCAGTCTCATATATACTCAAGTCACGTCCAGTGTGCCTGTGGGATCAAGATGTAGTTCCTTCTCCACTCTCAGCTCCTTCTCCAGCACCATGTCTGTCATCTTGCCACCACATCCTGCCAAGATGATAATGGGCTAAACCTCTGAAACTGTAAGGCACCCAATTAAATGTTTTCCTTTATAACAGTTGTCATGGTCACGCAGTCTATTCACAGCGACTGAAACCTTAAGACACCAATCTAGAGCTTTGGAGATTTAAAATAAATGCCTTTTCTGGTCAGACAAAACACCATCCAGCAGGAAGAGTTTGAAATTTGTCTGTTTATCCAGTATTTATTTTTGTTGTACTTGGAGTTGACCCTACAAAATTTGAAGGCTAATTTGAGTGCAACAGTTCCTGAAAGGCTTTAAACAAGAAAAAAAATGGCTGCTGTATAAAGAATTGGTAGCAGAGAAAAACGTGGGAATGATAGAGTTTAGAGTGTGGCTCCATAGCAGGGTACACGCACAAGGTCCTGAGCTCAACCACCAGCACCAGCTGGGGGCAGAGTAAGGGTCCAGATCAGATATGGAAAGCTGGATTAGAAAAAATGGTGAGAGGCAGTCAGGTAGGGCTGTGGGCTAGGTGTGAAGCCAAGGCAGAAAGGATAACTCGCAGGTTTCTGGTTTGAGTGTTGAACAATCCAGTGGATGCTACTGTAATTTACTGAGCTGGGAACCAATCACAGAGGATACACTATGTGAAGCACTCTATGATCAATACAGCTTCCTTGGAGCAGGAGACATGTAATGCTCCAAATTGTTAGGTCCAAAGGAAATTCCATTTCCCCAAACCCCAAAAGGCAGTAGGTCCAAATACCCACAAATGGGTTCAACCTGAATACTGGAGGATTTCTGTGGTTAGAGAAAAGCCAGTATTCCTCAGGGACTTGTAATGCCACTTCCCCTCTACCTATCACTTGCAGAACGGACAAATGGCTTTCTGTGGTGCCTCTTAGCATAGTAAAGCTCAAGCCGGCCTGGCTCCCTCAGGATCACAAATCCGTGTTACACATTTCAAAAGTCCACCCTAACTCTTTTCATCTCCTCCCCTCTTTAAACTCCCTCCGGCTCTTGGGCTTCCCTCCTCACCTACTCATTCTCCTTATAACCCTGCTAGTTTTGTGCTCCCTCCTCTCCCCCTTGTATAAACGGATGGTATAACCACTCTGCGGCACTGTTAAGGGGAAGGTTTCAATTGGAGAGATGAGAGAACAGTAGAGGCAATCGGAAGAGTCTAGAGCCGAGAGAGAAAGCAGCAGACTGAACAGCAGCAGCAGACTGGACCTGGCCAGGAGAGGTGCAGGAGTAGAGCGGAGAGATGGGTGGGGGAGCATGCATACCATAGCAGGGTTATAAGGTGAATGAGTAACTGCAGGACGGATGGAAGGAGTTTAAGGATAAGGGAGGCGGTGGTAAGAGCTAGGAGGCTAGCATGGACTTTGAAATATTTAACAGGTACTTGTAATACTGAGGGAGCCTGGAGGCCAGCATGTGCTTTGGTATGCTAATGGCACCACAGATAGCCATTTGTGTTCCCCGCCTTTTGAAGTTTGGGGGGAAATGGAGCTTCCTCTGGACCAGACACTTCTTTCACCCAGGTCCAGTCTGTTTGGCCATGTTCAGTCTGCTTCTTTCTCTCTCTGCTCTGAACTCTTTCAGATTCTTCCGGCTGTTCTCTCTCTCATATCTATAATTTAAACCTCCCCGTTAACATATCATGGAAGTCATGGTGTCAGGTTATATATTAATGTCATAACTTGTTTTGAAAACTACTGATACTGACAGTAGACACGGGGCGATGAAAATACAAATCTTTTGTTTTGGTCAAACTATTATGTTTGAAAAAAAAAATTGTCTTGGGGATTGAACTCAAAGCTAAGCACAGGCTAGGGAAGCCCTCTACCACCGAGCTACATTCCTAGGCTCAAAGACAAGACACCCGATCAGACTTGGCAATGCAAACGGACCAATCTGCTGTGTTGACTGTAGAGATCAGAGTGGAGGTGAGAAGAACCGGCAGACGATGGTAGCTTGGCAAGGTGGTGACAGTGGCAGGTGGAAAATAGGAAAGACTAGCACTGCATGTGCAAGCGGTCTTGCAGGAGCGTGTTTAAATGTGGCACAACCTATGACGTGAAAATCTAATTCAGCCCTTCGTTCCCAGAGCTCTCCATTCCAGAAAATTCACTATTGTTACTGCTCACCGGAGCGAGGTGGGAAGCCTGGAGCAACATTACGTATCATCCTCAACCCGAAGGAGCGAGAAAGTTCTGAAAGGTGAGGCCGAGCTCGGCTAGAGCTCCGCCCTGTTACCTGACCGTCCCACATCCCTATCCCGAGCCTCTCAGCTTTCTGGTTTCACAAACTCAGCCCCTATTTCCGGCTCCGGTGAGCTTGGCCGGAAGCAGTCCGTCCACCTCAGCGGATCCCCTTCCACCCTCTAGCCCCTAAGCCTCCAATCGGTTCCAACAGAGGACCCGCCAGTTGCGCTTGCGCGGGGGTCGCACGCAATCACGCGCGCCGTCCGCTTCCGGTGCGCCGCGCGGGCCGCCGGGACGGGTCTCCCTGGCGATCCGTGGTGTGCTGTCGCCGCTGCCAGCAGCGCGCCGGTGCCGCGTAGAAGCTCGCGTCCTTGCTGTCTTCCTCGGGCTTCCCGGGGCCTGACCCCCCCCGGGGCCCTCGGCAGGCGTCGGCCGAGCCTGTGCGTGAACCTGCGGATCTCCGCTCGCCCTTCATACCCTGCAGCGCAACTCGGAGGGAGAGCGAGAGGGGCTTTGGTGACTCCGCGCCGTGTGTCGCCGGGCGGGGCCGCGGGGCCGCGGGGCCGGGGTTCCTCCAGCCCCCGGGATGCGTGCGCGAGCTCTCGCCTCCACTTTCTTTTTACCGCTGTCACGACTGGAGCCGCCTCTCGCCTACAGCGGGGAGCGCGAGTGCACCGACCGGCACCCCTGTCCAGCCCCGTGGCCGGGTACCCTCGGGAATGTGAGCCGCCAGGCTCACAAACTCCTCCGGGTAAGTCCCGCCCACTAGGCTAACTGCCCAGCCACCTGAGTGCGGATCCTGCGGCTGCCTCTCCAGCTTCTGTTGCCTCGTGCTACCCGGTGCACCATTCCCTTAAGTCTGTACCTCAGGGACAGCTCAGAGAGGGAAAGAAGGTAGCCCGTGGCTGAGCTGCCAGAAACCATCACCTGAGGTTCACGGAAGGTTTGGTAGGGTAGTGAAAGTATCTCATTTCAAGGGCTACAGTTAAGAAAACTACGGCTTCAAGAGGGAACGTAGCATGCTTAAGGCCTTAAGGATCTGTAAGAGTGCTTTTAGGTCTCAGATCTTATATCCTCAAAAGACGCCCCACCCCTGCTCATCTGTTTGGTGTTTGAGACAGGGTTTCAGGCTGGCTTCAAACTCATCAGTAGATGAGATGAGCTTTCAACTACTCCCGGTCTTTCTGCTTCCATCTCCTAAACCCTGGGGCTGGCTGTAGGCACACCACCACACCCTGTTGTTTCTGACCTTCATATTTTTCTGCATCTATTTGCTTTGCTTTACCAAGGCCTAGGATCTGAAAACAAACTTGGACCCAGGTGTAGGACACTGTAGTCAAACAGAAACCCAAGATAATCCTTTCATGCCCAAAGGTGTAACTAACTTGGTTAGTTCTGGCCACTAAAACACGTTGTCCATTCTTTCCATACAGGCGCTCCGCTGGAGTAATACTGCTTTCTTCACAAGGCTGTTAAGGGCCAGGGAGTCGATTATATATATAGGGCAAAAAGTTTGACCCCCATATGCCCTTGACGTGAACTGCACCTGCCGTTAACCAATCTGCGGTTTGCTCACAGAGCCACAGTGTGGACTGTCTCATTAGGTTTCACTATGACTGTTAGGAAGTGAGCTTCCCCATTGCTCCCCCCACCCCATTACATTTTTAGGGAAGATTGGAGGAAGAGAAGTCACAAGTATAAAACACCTTAGGAGTATGTTTGTAACCTGCCGTGTACCTTTAAGAGTGGGGCTGGAGAAGTATCTCAGCAGTTCAGAGAATTGGCTCTTCTAGGGGCCCCAGGTTTATTTCCCAGCACCCACACAGTAGCTCACAACTCTCTGTAACCCAGGTCCCAGGGGACCTGATGAAGTCATCTGGACTTTGTGGGCACCAGTGCACAGACATTCATGATGCAGGCAAAACCACCCATGCACATAAATAGTAATTTTTTTAAAAGTGGGGTGAAATGTGTGTTTGGGGGTAACAGAGGAGGGGGTTTAGTTTTTACGTCTGTCAGAAGTATTGCTTGGCTGCTAGGAACATGGCTCGGCCGGCAAAGCTCTTGTACGAGAGTGAGAGCTCAGATCTAGACCCACACATGTATTAGGTGAGTATGATGGCCTGTCTGTAATAGTAGCCCTGGGAGGCTAGTCATAGCCATCTCTGGTTTTGAGTGAGAGACCCTGCTTCAAAGAAGAGTGATCTGATAAGATTTTGGACATTAATTTTGGGTCACCACATACTGCATACTTTCACCTACACATGTGAATATATGCACACAGCACACTCACACCCATTAAAAATAAGGAAAAGGCCAAAAGGGGAGGAGGAGCTGTGCCTAGCTCCCAGGGTTAGGCACAGTTTATTCATCCTCAGCTCTAAAAAAACAGCTGACATTTAGGGTGTGGAACACATATTTCTGTTTTAGTGGTAAGAATTTCAGCTTGTATCTCAGTCTCCTGGATTCCCCTTTATCTTTATTCTTCTCAGTTATCTTTTGTGAGGTCTAAACTGTGTGTGGCCTTCATGCCACTCCTGTGGGTCCTGTTCGTGTTTACTGCCACTGCTCTATTTCCTGGTATCTGTTTGGGAGATTTTCAAGAACTATGCTCCCCGCTCATTAAATTCAGGTGATTCTGGGATCTTTCTCCCTCTAAGGATTAAGAGGTGAAATTGCAATCTAGTGCTTGACCCCAGTGAACTATTCATTCATATTTTTAGGCCTGTTTTTTTATTTTTCTAGACAAAAAGGCTGTTCATTCTGCTTTGGTTTTGTTTGTTTGTTTTATTTTAGGCTAACACCAGAGAGCTATGTTGGTTTGTCAGAGTAATGTTTATTTTTTGGCTTTGGTTTTTGAGGCAGTATCTGAGTACCATGGTCTGGTCTTTAACTCCTGATCCTCCTGTCTCTGCTTGCCAAGCGCTGGGATTACAAGTATGTTCCAACATGTCAGTAAGGTTTCTGTTTAGATCTGTGTTGTCCTACACTATAGCCACTAGCCATACAGTTACAGTTCATCATATTGAAAATTAGTTCATTTTTGGCTGCTAGTCCTATTCCAAGTGCCTAATAATGATCTGTGACTAGCGGCTACTATATTGGACAAGATTAATAGAGACCATTTCCATCAGAGTTTATTGAATTGTCCTTGTAGAAAAATTTGCTCGTCAAGTTTGGTGACAGCACAACGTGAAGAAAAAGACCAGGAGCTGAATTTTTTTTTAAATTACAAACCTATTTTCAATATTTGGGCCTCATGGCCATGGGCAGGTTACTAACTGTCTCACTACAGATGATAGTCTTTAATAATGAACTCTTTCATTAGTACAGTACTTAGCTGTTCTCCAGCAATTATGTGACTTAAATTCTTTTGAGTCTTGCCTTGTTAATCTGTGGGAATGGTCTGGTCGGTGAAAGGCTTATTGTGGGTCAGCATAGGAATCTGAGTTAAGAAAGTGCTGGGATCGAGAGCGGCTGGCCTAGACAGTTCGGGAAGCTCCACATGCACACACTTGCACCCACTCCCCTGCGTGTCCTGCTAGCTAGTTTTTATGTCAGCTCAAGAAAAGATAGAGTTGCTTTGGAACCTCAATTGAGAAAATACCCCCACCAGGTCATTCTGTGGGCTAGCCTCCATTTTCTGACTGATGATGGATGTGGGAGGGCCCAGCTCACTGTGGGCAGGACTACCACTGGTGGTCCGGGTGCTATAAGAAAACAGACTGAAGCCCTTGTGGCGCACGCCTTTAATCCCAGCACTCAAGGGGCAGAGGCAGGTGGATCTCTGTTAGTTCGAGGCCAGCCTGATCTATAGAGCAAATTCCAAGACAGCCAGAGAAACCTTGTCTCAAAAAAAAAAAAGAAAGAAAAAGAAAACCTGAAGAAGAAAATAGAGTGAGCAGTCTATGAGGAGCAAGTCAGTAAGTAGTCCTCATCCATGGCCTCTGTCTCAGTTCTTGTCCTGACTTCCATTCGTGATGTACTGCGATACAGAGCTAAAAGCTAAAGTAAACTCTTCCTTCCCAACTGCTTTTGGTATTGATGTTATACCAATAAATTCCTTAGTTAGGAACCCTAAGCCTTATGTGTACCCACAGGAAAACCCCCCAACACATATATACAAGTCTGGGAAGATGAGACCTCTTTTAAAATTTTTAAATTGGATTTATTTATTGTATTTATTTTAGTGTTTTGCCTGCATATGTATGTGCGTCACATGCATGCCTAATGCCTGTGGTGGAGGTTGGTCAGAAGAGAGCATGACATCACTTGGAAATGAGGTGTGGACACTTGTGAGCTGCCACACGGATGCCGGGAACCGAATAACTGCTCTTAACCACTAAGCAATCTTTCCAGCCCCTACCCACTTTTTTAACATGCAGGAAAGGGTTAACAGAATCTAAAGTAGTTGGAAGATCTGCCTCAAATCACACAAGCTGGCAGAGTAAATCTCTTCCATATAAAGTTCCTTATTAGATGTTTAGTTGAAACTGTTATTTAAAGTGATAAAACTATAAGGTATGGCTGGAATTTCTAACTCTTGGTCAGGTATTCTTTAAAAAAAAAAAAAAGTTTGGTTTCTTAAGAAATTTTCATTAAAGACTCTCAAAACCTGTGGTCCCTGATCTGCCTGAAGAACAGACTAACTGAAAGCGTTTGATTTCCTGCCTTTTAGAGTCTCACCCAAGGCTGCAATGGAGCCCTCGAATCTGTAAGAATCAAGTACCACATGTGCTTGTTAGGATCTTTTTAACTGGGGAGATATCTAAACCTTTAGACCCTGGCAGAGTTGATTCGCACTGCAGGCTGCAGTTCCTTTTGCCTTGGATACTTAAAGCTTTCTGTTGACTTCCCTCTTCTCTAGCCATGGATGCGCCGTATGATGGTGCTGAGGTAACTGTTGTGATGGAAGAAATCGAGGAAGCTTATTACACTTCTCCTGGGCCACCTAAGAAGAAGAAAAAGTATAAAATACAAGGAGAAAAGGCCAAGAAACCCAGGTTAGCTTTAATATTTTAGTTGTTGATGTTATTTCTCAACAGGTCAGCTTGGAGGGCTGAGTTGAAGAAGATAAAGATTCATTTAGAATGCAGTTGTCAGAGTCTGAGTGGGCATGTTGTGGGGGAGAGAGAGACTGGAGGTGCAGAGGGACAGACTTTGCTTATCTTTCCAGACTGTTAGAGGAACTTGTACCGTGTAATGCTAGAATCTGTGGATTCTTTTTTGTGTTATTTTTTGCTCTGTCATTGTTTAAATATTTAAAATAGGCATTAGTAACATTAAAGTTATAAGTAATGCCAGCGATTTCTATAGATATTATCCACTTTAATTTTCCTCTTCACTTTGAATACTAAAAACTTCTGACTGATGTTACTAGCACTGGACCACTTTTGACAATTACTTGCTTTCCTCTCTCAGCCTTGTTGAGATTTTTGATCAAAGACAGAGGAGTGATGTATGTGTGCAATAAACCTGGGTAGTCAGCCTCTGCTGTAACCTTGGCCTGCGAGTGGAATGATAGGACCCTGCATCTTTGACTACATTTGATTATATGACTGGGGGTGATACAGAGGTTTTTTTCTTGTCTAGAGACAGTGCTTTGAGTTGAGAGGTTTGACTTTGCTTTGCTTTGTTGGCCTTTGACTAAGACCCCAGCTGGCAAGGGCTAGATGAAGTAAGGTCCCTTCTTGCTTCTGCAGGTCTGCCTACCTTCTATATTACTATGACATCTACTTGAAAGTACAGCAGGAGCTCCCCCACCTACCACAGTCCGAGATCAATAAGAAGATAAGTGAGAGCTGGAGGCTCCTCAGTGTGGCTGAGAGAAGTTACTACTTGGAGAAAGCCAAACTAGAGAAAGAAGGTTTGGATCCTGTAAGTATTTTTTTCTTAGCGCCCCGCCCCCATTGTTTTAATCAGTAAGGACCTGGGAAGACCAGCTCCTCTGTTCTCATGACTCTTATCTTCTTGAGAAGCTTTTAAATTCTCTTTCTTGAGTCAGGTTTTGTGTCTGCATTCTTTTTAAATGCAACAGCGCAAAGAGCTGACATTTTCTGAGTTCTTTATAATGAGCCTCTGGTTCCTTTTCTGATCTTTACTGTAACCCGAAGCTCCTTATCCCCATAGTAATATCCTTTCCTTGATACAGTGGCTTAGATAGGCATTTCTTCTACACTGTGTTTTCATATTACTAATTGAATGTGGTATAGTTCGTCTGTTGTTTTGCCTGGTATAACAATCAGGAATCAGGTTCGTATGAAAAGCAGTAAAGTAAAACTGCTTTGTGTGATCCATGTGCTTTTGAACTATAGAGAGGAGAAATGCAGGGTTAAAGCCAAGGTTGATGGTGACTGGGGCTTTCAGTCCTTGAACTGAAGAGCTAGTGAGGATGAATTTAGGTTGATGTCTATCTACCATTTGTTATCTCCAGTTCACAGCGACAGAATACACTTGTTTTGATGGTGCTGGTGGCAGAATCCAGGATTTCATTCATAGTAGACAAACTTCGTGCCAGTGAGCTCTGTGCCTCCCCCAACTGGATTTTTGGTTTTTGATTTTTTTGGCCCTTTTTTTTTTTTTTTTTCAGTTTTTCGAGACAGGGTTTCTCTGTAGCTTTGGAGCCTGTCCTGGAACTAGCTCTTATAGACCAGGCTGGCCTGCAACTCAAAGGGATCCGCCTGCCTCTGCCTCCCGAGTGCTGGGATTAAAGGCGTGCGCCATCACCGCCTGGCCCCAACTGGCATTGCCAACACTGCCTACAATAACTCAGGCGTCTAGCGAACCTTCACCAGCACAACTCAAAGAAGGGAGACACACAAATGCTACTACCAAAAACAATAAGAATAACTGGAAATTCCCATAGGAACTCTATCATGATTGCAGACCAAAACCGGTTAACCTAAACTTTTATTTATTTATTTTCTAAGTTTAGACAACTGTTTCCTATTTCTTTTTTGGAAATGTAAAGAACAAAGCTATCAACAGTTACGCTGTAGGTGAACTGGACTTTTTCTTAACTGAGTCTGTCACTGCCAGTCAGATTATTTTCACCTTACTTTCTAGATATTCCTCTTCCTCCTCCAGTAGCTTTGTGTTAATCTACTGTCTAGAAGATGCTAGTGTATTTTTCTGCTGCTAGATGATTTGTTTATAACAAGTCTAGGAAATAACCGCAGCAAAGGTAAGACTGAGAAGGTAAAATATAAGAAAAGAATACCTATTCCTTATGGCTTCCATATTCTAAAATATGCAGTCTTAGGAGTTGGGAATTGAACTCGGTGGCAGACCATAATTGCCCTGGGTTCCATCCTTAGAGCCAGCCTCTTTTAAAACAGTAAATAAAGGCAGCAAAACTTTTTCGTCTAATAATCTCAACTAACTCTGGAATGATTTTTTTGTCAAGACTGAATTTTTTACATCATCTGCGGTGATTTTTTCCCCCAGCTTATTCGTGTGCTTGTTTATATTTACTCATGTCTACCACTATCATCAGTAAATAATTTTGGAAGAATCAATTAAATTTTTGAACTGATAAGTTTTCTGATCTGCAAAATGGAACTTGTAGGCAGTCAAAAATGTATAATATAGGACTGGAGTGATAGCTCAGTGGTCAAGAGCACGTGCTGTGCTTACAGAAGACCTGTGTTTGGGTCCCAGCACCCAGTGGTGGCTCACAGCATCTGTAACTTCAGTTCCAGGTGGATTAATTCTCCTACCCTTTTTTTTTTTTCTTTAAACTCTCTGAGTACACTAGGCACACATGTACTGTGTAGCCATCTAGGCAAAACACTCATAAAACTAAATAGATAAAGTTAAAATCACTTATCTGAGTTCTTGGCAGATTCTGATCTAATCCATAAGTGTTACTCTTCAGTAGATTAAAAAAATCCAGTACTAGGGGTGGAGAGATGGTACAGCAGTTAAGAATACCTGGCTGTTTCTGGCAGGATCCTGGTCTGCCCACATGGCAACTTACAACCATCTGTAGCTCCATTCCAGGGGAGCAGATGCCCTTTTCTGACCTTGGATACCAAGCATACATGTGGTGCACATACATACATGCCTGAAAAACACTCATACATGTAAAATAACTAAATATAAAACATTTTTTAAAGATCCAGCCAGGCTGTGGTGGCACACATCTTTAATCCCAGCACCCAGGAGGCAGAGGCAGGTGAATCTCTTGAGGATGAAGCCAACATGATCTACAGAGTGAGTTCCAGGATAGCCAGGGCTACATAGAGAAACCCTGTCTCGAAAAACAAAACAAAGAACCTAACAAACAACAAAAATACAGTACCATGTAAGAAGAAAAGGTGCTGGTTAATGAGCACTGGGGCTTGGCGAAGTTTCTGTGCTGAGCTGTCCTCTATTGCCTGGTGTGCGGACGGGACTTTGCGTCTTGAGAGACTGATGGCACTTCCTGCTCAGTCCAGGACCTGTGATTTTTGCATTAGTCCTTCAAGTCTGTATAGTTTTGTCATGTAGTCCTGTTCTGTCTCTTTTAGTCCAGACAATTCTTTGTTTGCCACCACTTAATCTTGTTGCCCTAATGTGTCTTCTTCTGAGGGTGTATTGAAAATGCCATTTTCCTTTACCTCTGCAGTTCCGTAAAGGACCCAGTTCTGTCTACCTTCACATTTCGTCTGAGTGCTTCTTTAACTCTTATCTTGGAGTGCTGCCTTTGAGCCTTAAGTAGTCCCATCGACCCTCCCTTTTGAGATCTCCAAAGATGTTCTTGTAATTGATTTTAGTGTGCCTTTAAAAGGTACTTTGAAATTTTTTTTCCCATTAAACTTGGGTTTTTATTTAACCATTCACTTTGTTCTGTTTCTCTTACTGGATGACTTTTAGTTTAAGTTCAAAAAAATATCAAACATTAATTCCCCTTTTGAGAATGGATTTGCTATGTGGGGATGTTTCTAGGAACTGGTCTTGATCTTTTAAAAGAAAAATAAAAAGCAGAGTTCAGGTTTTTACTTCTTACTAATTTTATGTCTTGGACTTTTAACCTCATGAATTTTGACTTTGATTTTCTCATGTATTAACTGATAATACTAATACTATTATTTTAGAGAAAAATTAAATCACAAATTTCAACAAATTTCTGAGTTTTAAGATGTTAGGTCTCCTCCCTGCACCTCATTAACATATTCAGGGCCTTTTAGTCCTCATCATACATAATTCATTTCTCTCACAAAGCTTTCTTAGCTTTGTGGCCTGCTCATCCTTGTAAGTTTGGAAGAATTACTGAGGTCAGAATCCTGATGTGCCATCTTGAATTCCATCTCAGTCTTCTGTATCGTTGCTTTTCATACGTATTTAAACCATCTGCTACTCTAGTAATACTTGTTTTGGTATTTTTTTTCCTTAAAAGGAAAACCACTAAAAAGCAAACAGGTAGTTGCCGAGGCTTCAAGAAGGAAAAGAATTTGCTCAAGACTGTGTAGACTCGGTGTTCATGCTCCCAGTTTTGGAAGCCGAGATCTGTGCCCTACCCAAAGTTCAGTGCCATAGATGTAGCGTATTTTCTCAGCATGTGCAAGCCCCTCAATTCAATCCCTAGAACTTTGAAAAGACCTAACAGCAGAGTCTAATCCATTCTGCAGTTTCTTGAGCAAGTGAGGTACATTCATCCCAATGACGATGACACTGCTGTTGACAGCAGCTGATCTTTCCTGAGTTAGGGCTAATATAAACGACTTGAACTCCTCATACATTCATCTCTGGTTATTTCTCTCATTCTCAGAACTCTAAGCTCTCTGCACTGACTGCTGTGGTTCCGGACATCCCAGGTTTCCGTAAGATCCTTCCCCGATCGGATTACATCATCATTCCCAAGAGCACCCTGCAGGAAGACAGGAGCTGCCCTCAGCTAGAGCTGTGTGTGGCTCAGAACCAGATGTCCCCTAAAGGATCTGCTCTCGTGTCTCATGCTTCCCCGGATATAGTAACCAGCCATGCAGGCATGGCCGAGCAGTGCCTCGCTGTGGAGGCCCTGGCTGAGGAGGTGGGAGCCCTCTCCCAGCCAGGTGCTGTGCAGGAGATTGCCACCTCAGAGATCCTCAGCCAGGATATGCTCCTGGAGGAGGCGTCCTTGGAAGTAGGAGAGAGCCACCAACCTTACCAGACAAGCCTAGTAATTGAAGAGACCTTAGTAAATGGCTCACCAGATGTCCCCACTGGAAGCCTGACTGTGCCACACTCCCAGGTTGGAGAGAGCTTGTCAGTGGTAACAGTCATGAGGGTAAGTGGCTTTACACGAATGTCTTTTGCTTGCTGGCATTCTTATAATGGAGGGTATAGGTATAATAACTCAATGTTTCTAGGCCTTGGACTTGCTCCAGAGTTCTCAGCTTCGCAGGCATCTTACCACCTCTCAGTCTAGCCCAATGAGAGTTTTCCTCACATAAGATAAGATTAGCAAGAGAGCTGGAAATGGATTGAAGCTGTCTGTGAGTCAAAGCCAAGAACTTCATGCTATTAGTGCCAGTCAGGATTTTGTGCCCTGAAGTCTCTTTCAAAAAAAAAAAAACATCAAAAAATCACAATGGCATCTTGAACTATATGTGAGAATTACTGGAGGAAACTTTGGATTTAGATGGGAATAGGAAGAAAAATTCTCTTTAAGGACAAGGTTATGGAGCTAAGACCTGAGAAAGTCAGACAACTCTGGGGCTAGTGAGATGGCTCAGTGGATAAAGGTGCTTATTGCCCCAATTTTTATTTAAAAAGGAAAAAAAAATCCCTAAACCAAGGGATTCTTGGTTGAGATGAAAGCAAAAATCTCATTGACTCTGGGAAAACTGCCACAATGTCCTAGTTACAGTGTCCCTCTTCTTCCCTGGATAGGATAGCATCCTAGAGGAGTGCCAGTCCCCTTCAGGATAAGGGGGCAGTGTGGTATAGCATACGTGATGACTTGGGTACAGAAGAACAGGTGGCCTAAAGAGCTCTATCCTAGATCTATTATATCTTTTATTTGTTGTGCGATGCTATTTTATGATTGTAAACCGTTGCCACTGATCTGATGGAGGCAGTAAAGAACAATTTTGAGCTGCCTTGTGGGTTCTGGGAACAAATCCAGGTCCACTGGAAGAGCAGCCAGCTCTTTACCACCGAGCCATGGTTCCAGTACCACTTATAGAATATGTTAATAGGGTCAGAAGAATTGGATTTTTTTTACTAAGTGCTTATGAGATCTTGGGGGTCCCTAAGCTATCACTGCTCTAGTTTTCTCACCTGTGAAATGATCATAGCACATCTGTGGTATAATTTTTTCTTCGTTTCTGTGTTATCTTATTTTGAGATAACGGTGCTTGTTTATTTTGCTGAGCATGCTGGATGAGCACATTGTCGGCACTTTGTGCTTGATGCAGCCTTCCAGTACTGTGGATGCCCTTGGTGTTCTGCACACTGTTTAACTGTCCTCTCCATTGTGCACAGGATCCCAGTGAGAATAGCTCCTCTGCTCCAACCGCTCAGTTCATCATGCTGCCTCTGCCTGCTTACTCGGTTGTGGAGAACCCTTCCTCCATCAAGCTGGTCAGTATTGGGGAATCAGGGCTCTATAAGCATTCTCTCCTATTAAAAATAGTTTTCCAAGGTCTTAAAGCTTTAGAACATGGGAGCCAGCAGTTTGGAATTCCCTGGGCCACATGTTGACGGTCAGGAGCCCTGTAGGTACAGCTCCCCAGTACCTGTGAACTCCCCCAAGTATATAGACTTCTTGAAACACCCCGAGGATAGGTTTCAGAACACTGTGGAACCACTGATCTAGTTAAGCGTTATCACCGCACAGATGCTAAAACAGCCCAGAGAAAGAGGAGTTGAAATCCTCGAGGACGTAAACCAGGGCTCTGGCTTCTTGACTCAGTTGATGTTTTCCCATCACACGCCACACAGGGCTGAGATGTATCCCTAAATATTTCATGATTTTGATGCTATTATAAATGGTATTCTGAACTACTTAGTCCCTGGCAGTATGTAGTAAAAAGGGGGACTTTTTAGAAATTAATTTTGTTTTGTTTTGAGACAAGGTCTCACTGTGTAACCCCAGTTGTCATGGAGCTCACTTTGTAGACCAGGCCTCCACCCGTCTCTACCTCCCAAGTGCTAGGGTTAAAGACATGTGCTGCCACACCTGGCTGAAGTGGTAGGTTTCATTGTTGATTTAGTAGAACGTTGCATTCATATCAGATTAGGTCAGGATAATTGATAATATTGTTCAACTCCTTTGTATCCATGCTGATCTTTGATCTGTCTGTCCTGTCAGCTATTAGGAGAAGGCATTCAACTGTCACTGTGGATGTTCTGTTTCTTCTTAAAGCCCTATTAGTTTTTATTCCATACATTTGGACTTTATTTACATAAACATTAGGATTGTTACGTCATCTGCATAAATTGCCACTTCATTATTATGAAATGACCTTGAGTAATGTTGTTTGCTCTGAAGCCTACTGTGTTGTTCTTTAGTTTTGGTTTTATTAGTTACTATTAGCAACTAGTTTGTTTCCATGCTTTTTTTTATCCATTTTGTAACTTTATATTTAAGGTTTTGTTCTGTTTTATAGGCAGCATGTAGTTAGATGTAAAACAAAGACAGTCTAATGAAAAGCATTTATATTTGATACGGTTAGGTTTGTTTTTGGTTTGGGGTGGGAATTTTTTTTTAATTTTTATTTTATTTTATTTTTGCCTCGGTCATGGTGGGAAGGCAAGGAAGCAGAGTGTGAGGCTACTGGTCATACAGCATCTCTAGTCAGAAAGCAGACAGCTGAATGATGGTACTCATGTCAATCTCTTCTTTTTCCCTTTGTATTCAGCAGGAGTCCAGTTCTTGGGATGGTGCTGCCCACATTTAAGTTGGGTCTTCCTCTAGTTAAATCTCTCCAGAAATGTTCCCACCGACGTGCCCAAAGGTGTCTCCTATTTGATTATGAATCTAGCCAAGTTGACATGAAAAGTCTACCCCTTGCTATTGTGACACCAAGACACAGTCACTGTTTTTTTGTTTGTTTTTGTTTTTCAAGACAGAGTTTCTCCTTGTAGCTCTGACTGTCCTGGAACTCGCTCTGTAGACTAGACTGGCTTCCAACTCAGAGATCCATCTGCCTCTGCTTCCCAAGTGCCGAGAGTAAAGGCATGTACAACCACCTGGCTCACAACCACTTAAAAAATTTTTGTTTCTGTTTTTATTTTTGAGACAGAATATCTCTATGTAGACCTGGCTGGACTCTTAATTCAGAGAGATCCCCCTGCTTCTGCCTTCCCAAGTGCTGGGATTAAAGGTGTGTGCTACTCTGCTGGACCCACAATCACCTTTAAATCATAACATTCTACCCCAGCCCTCAAAAGGTTTATGGCCATCTGATAATGCAGAATGCATTTAGTTTATCTCCCAGGAGTCCCAAAGTCTTACCCATTCTAACACGGAGTCCAGAGTCTGTTCCAAGAGCTCAGGTCAGTCTCTTAACTGTGGGCCCTTGCAAAATCAAAGGTATTTCCAGCATATAATGGCACAGAATAAAGTGGCAGGAGGAGTGGCAGGATAGCAAGGACAGGTTGAATGAAAACGAAGCAGGACAAACACTGTACCCTGTAGCTCCAGGTCCAGGAGCTAGGGTTTGTCCTGGCATCATCATGGCTCCAGCAGGCTTAGGCAGACCTACTCTCCAGCTCTACTGCCTGCAGAGCATGTGGCCTTTCTAGTCTGTGCCAGAAGTCTTAGCAGACATCCCACAATCCTAGCATCTTCAACATTCTGAGGTCTCCATTGCATCTTTACCATCACACAGGAGTTTCTGGGCCTCCTTGTGAGGACTCTGGTCTTGCTACATGTTACATGGCCACAGAGGTGTTCTGGATCCTAGGTGCAGGTCTCTATGACCCCATAAGTCTTTGATTTTGCATGTCTACAAAACCATGTAGAAAGTGTTGGTACGTTGTCTTGCTCAATCAAGATGTAGTCCTGCCTACACATGCCAAAGCTTTAGTGGCCTCCATGTGCCTTGGCAGCTGGACCTGGGAAGACTTCTCCAGGTGATTGATTGTTTTTGAGTAGAGGACTCTTTCAGCCTATCTCCCAGTCCAGACTGTCTCCTGAATTTGCATTTTCAAGAGCTGGAGCCTTTGAGGTAGGGTCTTGCCTTCAGGCCACCTTGCCTGTGTCTGAGTTTAGAGCTAAAGGTTTCTCGTTAAGAGTTACAGCTACTTTCTCTATCCCTGCCTCGCTCATTTCCTCTCCATTTGTATATTCATGTCTTTGTTCCCCCTCACTGTAGATCTGAATCAGAGCTGTGGGCAGTAGCTATCCTGCAGCCTGAATGCTGTGGTGTCCTGAGATTTCCTCTGCTAAAGAAATGGTCCATTACGTTTAATTCAGCCTTACTCAAGTTACCAGGACACAGGAAGACTGCAGATATATTTCTGACTATAATAGAATGGACTCTAGCCCAGTTCTCAATAGCCCTTGGTCTTCTCTGAAGCCTGATAAATCAGGCCATTACTGCCTGCATTTCTGTTGGCATACTGTTCTGAATTTCCACCAGAATTGCTTAGTGGGCTTTGCTTACAAGATTCTAGAGCTTTTGTTGCTCATAGGTCTAAACTTCTTGATTTCTTGCATAAACCAGGCCTAAAGGCCTCTAAACCACATGGCCATATAGTCTAGAAATATTTAGCTCCATCCCTGGTACCAAAATACATATTAGGGTTCTCCAGAGCAATGAAATCAATAGGTGTATATATATATTATAAAGGGGGGCTTACATGGTAGGGACAGGTATGTGCCATTGTTTCCAGCTAAGTAGTGTATCCTTGGATGAGAAAGTTGCTGCAGTGTGTGTATGTATACACATATACACGTGTGTGTATGGAAATTAAAGGATGTCTTCCTGTCTCTTTGCATTTTGCTTGCTGAGACTGAGATCTCTCTGATCCTGGAGCTCACTGATTTGCTAGACTCGGTGTCAGGCTAACCTTTGTCCTCTTCCAGCTCTGGGACTCTAGGAACACACCTTTCTGCACTGGTGCTGGAATCTAAACTCAGATCCTAACGTTTGTGTAGCAGCATCTTAAAATAGGACCTTCCACTGCAGCTTGATTGACGGAGACATTGGCTATTTTTCTGGAAACCTTATCTTCCTGGAAGTGACTGTTTTATCAAGAGCCAGGCTCTTCTAGAAAAGTGTTTCATTTCACTTTTCTGTGTTTTAAGGCTGAAATAGCTTTAAGCATCAGCATTTTTGTTTAGTGTTACTGTTCCTTAGGCTGCTGTTGGGGAGTGTTTCCAAGCTCACAATAACTGTTTCTAGGACTGCCTTCCTTACATTTGTATTCTGTTTCTGTAGGTATTTGACATGCAGAGTCTTTATTAGTATTGGATTAGTCTGGGGAAAGATGAGAGAGGTTTTGTCCTGATTATAATAATCTCAGAACTGTAAAATCCTTTACAGTTTACTATGCATGTTTCCCCATTCTGGACATTTGCCCTTGGCATACCTCTGTGACCAGAAGATGTGGTTTTTCCAGAGGATAAAACCAAGTGACTACCTAGGTCATTCAGTGTGTCGATGGCAAAGTTGGAACCTAAAGTGTGGTGTCTTTCCTAACTTTCCCAAGTGCTACTCCACTTGGCATTTATTCTTGACATGCATAGTGCCACAATGATGGGCAGCTTTTCCTTATGCCTCCTGGCAGAGGTGACTAGTGGCAGTTTAGTATTTTAGATTGCTTTTGGCTGGGCTAGAGAAATTATGGATTAGCAGTTTAATAAACATTTCACCATATAGACCAAGCTGGCCTTAAACTCAAGATCTGCCTACCAAGTGCTGGGATTATAGGTTTAAAAGGTGTACAGCACTACACCCAACTAAAAATCTTGATGCTTTTGTTGTTTTTGTGTGTTTGTGTGTGTCCCCTGCGTATATGTCTGTGTGCCACATCTGTACCTGGTGCCCAAGGAGGACAGAAGAGGGTGTCAGATCCTCTGGAACTTAAGTTATAGACAGTTGTAATCCCACCATATGGGTGCTGGGAATCAGACCTGGGTCCGTGGTAGAGCAGCCAGTGCTTTTAATCACTGAACCATCACTCCAACCCCACTATATGATTTGAGGCAAAACATTTCAACAGTATTAGCCACAATAGCAAACATTGCTAAGGGGATAGAATGAGATTTTGATACAGTGTTGAGCACTGTGTGCTACCTTGTTCATTAACAGCCATCACCTGTGTAGCCCTGGGGAGTTTGTATCAAAGGACCTTTCTAACAGACCTTCTGTGGTGTCTTGAATGTTTAAGCTGTTGTCCTCTGCATATTGTGGTTATAGTAGTCAGTGGTCTTGGACTGGATTCTTGGTCTTAACTCTTATTTGTTTGTTTGTTTATAGACTACTACATATACCCGCCGGGGCCATGGGGCGTGCACGAGCCCAGGTTGTTCCTTTACTTATGTCACTAGGCACAAGCCACCTAAGTGCCCAACTTGTGGTAACTTCCTGGGAGGGAAGTGGATACCAAAGGTAAGGTTCATTCAGTGTTTTTGTTTGTTTGTTTTTAAGTTAACCCTGACTTGTTTTTAATCTTTGTAAAGTGTGTGTGATGTTCTTGGGTGTGTGTGCCTGTTAGTTTGAGTCAGTTCAAGTGCATGCATGCTGTGTCCCTCATGGAGGTCAGAAAACACTGTGGGTGTTGGTCCTTGCTTTTCACTTTAAGACAGGATCTCTTTTGTTGTTCACTTCTGATATGCCAAGATAAAGTGTTCCTCAAGCTTCTAGGATTTCCACCCTTCATCTATCTATCCACCATTAAGCATTCTTAAAACTATTATCTTTAGCCAGATATAGTGGTGCATACCTGCACTCCCAGCACTAGGGAGATAGGCAGGGTTGGAAATTTAAAACCACTTTGGGCTACTTAGTGAGTTCAAAGCTACCAGAACTGCATAATTGCTGCAAAATTTTTCACAAATGATTACAATGTGGTAATTTATTCACTTCCAATTAAATTAATTTTGAATTTTAACAGTTTACACTAACTACATAGTTCTGTCTGATGATGGCTTGCTTGTGTCTTTTCATTCTTTAGCCCAAGATCCTCTCCCTTTTTTCTCTCTCTCTCTCTCTTTTTTTTTTTTTTTTTTTTTTTTTGGTTTTTTGTTTTTGTTTTTCAAGACAGGGTTTCCCTGTAGCTTTGAAACCTTGGATTCTGTCCTGGAATGCCTCTGTAGACCAGACTGACCTCAGACTCACAGAGATCAGCCTGCATCTGCCTCTTGAGTGCTGGGATTAAAGGTGTGCACCACCTGCCCAGCCTTCCTTCTGGTTTTTCAAGACAGGGTTTCTCTGTGTAGCCCTGGCTGTACTGGAACACGTTCTGTAGACCAGTCAGGCCTCTAACTTACAGAGATCCCTGAGTGCTGGGATTGAAAACTGCAAAAATTACCATTGCCCAGCTCAAGATCTCTCTTAATAGCAGCTATTGAAAATTAAAGTCCTTAAGCTGATATTCAGAGTCCACTCTGAGTATGCTTACTCTCTCCCTGCACCTCACACCCTCCACTACCCTTCTTTGCTTTCTTTCTTCTTTCTCCTTCTCTCTTTCATTTTTTTGAGACAGAGTTTGGCCTTAAACTAGTGAACATCTAAACTTTGACCTCTGCCTCAAGTACTGAGGTTACAAGTGTTCATCATGCTCAGTTTCCATGGTGCTGGGGGTTAAGCTCAGGGCCTTTCATATGCCACATTTTCTGTAGTCAAATTCTGACTTTACAGTGTGTATCCTTCCCACCATCCCTTCTTCCTTTTATCTCTCTGTCTCTTTCTGGTTTTGTATGCTTAAAATGAATGCAAAATGATGAGATTGCTCATTGTAAATGTTAGTCTTGCATGAAGCACCGGGGCTTCCTGAGGGAAGAACAAGTGGCTGTCTCTGTAGGCCCTTAACACATTTATTCAACAGTTATCACCCTTTAAAAAAAAAAAAAAAAGATTATTATTATTTTTTAAATTTTCTCAGCATGAGTGTTTTGCCTGCATGTATGTAAGTATACTACATGTATGCAGTGCTGCAGGAGACCAGAAGAGGGACCTGGAGTTGTGAGCCATTCCAGGGTGCTAGGAATCAAACCCTGGTCCTCTGGAAGCGGGGCCAGTGCTCTTAACTGCCAAGCCATCTCTCTAGCACACTTTTATTTTCTTTAAATTATGTGCATATGTATGTGTTTGTGTGTGGGTATGTGCCCTTAGAGGTCATAGTAGGGTTTCTGATCCTCTGAAGCTGGACTTCCGGGCATCTGCATGATCAATGAGCATCATAGTTCAATACTGTGTGTTTGGGTAACTTACTGTTCAGCTGGCACTGACTGGATAAAACATGTACTTGCCCTGTTCTTTACATGAGATTGTAAATTTTTAGAATCAAAATGAATGGATGAGGCAATCGTGTCTCAGTTTGCAGAGACCAGACACTTAGAAGGACTAGAATAGACAGGAAAGGAGTTTTGTTTTGTTTTGTTGTTTTAAGATTTATTTATTTCATATATATGAGTGTTCTATCTTCATGTACACCTGCATGCCAGAAGAGGGCATCAGATCCCTTCATAGATGGTTGTGAGCCACCATATGGTTGCTGGGAATTGAAGTTAGGACCTCTGGAAGAACAACTGGTGCTTTTAACCACTGAGCCATCTCTCCAACCCCCGGAAGGGTTTTTGTAGAAGCATTAATGCCGTTGTGTAGGTAGAAAAAGAAAGAGGACTTGTGAACCATTTGTCTTATGGCCAGGAAGCAAGAGAGAAAGGACTGCTTTGGCATCCCACAGTCTTTCAACAGCATGTTTCTATGAGCCTAAAACTTCCCTCTAGGCCCCACCTGGTAGGGTTCACCACCTCCTAATAGTGGCCTCCCTTGGACCTTTGGGAGACATCCGAGATGGAAATACTAGCAAAAATGTAGTTCTAGAGTTTACTCCTAGAGTTCAAACTTCTGTTTTCCAAGTTTTTAGCTATGTAACTGTCTTAAGGTTTTTATTACTATGAAGAGATACCAATACTGTGACAACTCTTATAAAGAAAACATTTAATTGAGTGGACTTGCTTATAGTTCAGAGGTTCAGTTCATTCATGGCGGGGAGCTTGGCTGCATGCAGGCATACAACGTGATAGAGCTGAGAGTCCTATATCTAAGAGTTTGAGGCCAAACTGGTATATGGATCTATTTAGCAAGTTTTAGGCTGGCTCAGGGTACATAGTGAGACTTCTAACATAATTAATGTGTGTGGATTAATTTGAGTTTTAGAAATGTGTAAGTCATTCATATATGACTTACCTGAAAGATTCTGGGGCTAAAGGTTTGCTCCAAGAGAGTGGAAACAGTGTGAACCTGAGCACATTAGGATGAACTGAGTCTCATAGAAGGGCTACCAAGGAAACAACTTAAGACTACAAGATAATAGCTTCTTTCTAGATGGAAGAAGTGGACATGGAACAGTCAGCCAATATGTGATGAAAAAGGGACATGTCAAGAAGTTTAGATTAGTTCCCGAGGTGTCAACACTCTAGTGAACAGAAGCCATAAAGTCAATTTTATCCTGACTCTTCACTGACCTGACTCAGTGTCCTTATTTATTACTCATGTGTTCTTAAGCGAATCAAATTAGAGAATATTTTGAATGTCATTATCATATGCAAGCTGCCATCATGTGTATAAGGTCTTCTTGTTCTTTCTAGGAAAAGGCAGGCAAAGTCAAAGTGGAACTGGCTCCCGGTGCCTCCTCCAAAGGCTCAGTGATCAAACGAGGTCAGCAGCCTGTCACCACTGAGCAAAAGCCCTCTCCGGAAAATGCCTCAAAACTGACTCTGGAGAACTCAGAGGCTGTAAGCCAGCTCTTAACTGTAGCTCCTCCAAGAGAAGTAGGCGAGGAGAATGAGTGGGAGGAAGTGATTATCTCCGATGATCATCTTTTCGTCAAGGAAGTTCCCAGGAATCATGATACAGCGGTAACTAAGACATCAGTTGTCAAGAGTGGTATGCAGGCTGATGTCACGCTGGGGACAACTGAGAATGACAGTCTTGGACCAGACATACCACCATCAGCAGAGGGGACCAGCACCTCCACTTTACTTCCAGCTCAGAAAAAGTCTCCAGGGTATGCCAGTGTAATTACATATTATTGGGACTGTGTTTAGAACAGCAGCTAAGCAAGGGCCCCATGTTTGCTCTGAGAATGTCATTACAGCAGTCCCAAGAGAGGCAGCAGAGCCCGAGAGACACGGTGTGATTTACCTTTCCCTCACACTCTGCCATCCATATGTTGCTATTATACTCCTTGCACATCTTTTCTTGTCGGTCTTCCTAAAGCAGTAGTACAGGATGTGGTCAGAGATTAAAAAGCAAAAGCAAAAAAACCCACCATGTTTTTGGGATCCTTTGGTAGGATTCCGTGGCTGGTGGTCAGACTCAGTGAGTCCTAACTATCTCTGGCTTCTGTTTGATCTTTGACATAGTCACCTGATGTCTCTTGATTGGTTCTGAAAAACCTTGAGTTGGATATTAAAAAAAAAAATGAAAAACAGTATCTCATAGACTAGGAAAGATTGCTTTTAAAGCATTCAGACTGGTATTTTCCAAATAGAAAGTCAGTAAGTTTGGGCTTTTTCTCTCCCCTCCTTTCTTAGAGGCTTAAGTGGCTTCTAAATGGAGCACCCCAGAATCTGTCGTGTTCTGTAACTGAAGACTCCTTGCTCATCTCAGTAGTTCTCAACTGGGAAGAGCTTTGCCCACCAGAGATGTTTTGGCAGTGTTGGGAGGTATTTTGATTGTCACAGCTGGGGATAGGCTGAGTAGGCACAGCAGGTTTGCTGCTAGTGCCTAAGTGGGGAAGAACTACTAAACATCTTGACATACACAGGACAGCCTCCTCCCCTGGGGAATCGGCCTCTACAAAGTATTGTAGTTCCACATGTGGTTTCTTTTTTTAAAAAATAATTTATTTATTTTTAGTTTATGTGCATTGCTGTGCATGTATATCAGTATGAGGGTGTCCAGTCTTGGAGCTGCCATATGGGTACTGGGAATTGAACTCGGGAACTCTAGAAAAAAAAGCCAGTTCTCTTAAATGCTGAGCCATTTCTTCAACTCCCCACATATGGTTTCTATTGGGATTTATAAAGGTTTTTTTTTTTTTTGATTGAATGACTAGAAAATTTTTTCATATAGCTCATATCTTAAAAGTATAAGAAATATTTTTTAAAATCTTCTCTCTGTCCCATTATGTAGTCATTATTTTCCAGGGATAGTCAATATTTCCAGTTCTCTACTGTGTAGAGTTAATTTTAAACAAGCATGTTTATGTATGCATGTATTTCCTACTTGCTTTTTTAAAGGATTTATTTTTATTGTGTGTGTGCCGGTATCTGCCTGCATGTGAACCATGTGTCTGCCTGGTGTCTGCAGACACCAGAAGAGGGCATCAGGTCTTTGAAACTGGTGTTACTGATAGTTAGCCACCATGTGGGTGCAGGGATAGAACTTGGGTCCTTTTCAAGAGCAGCAAATGCTAGCTACTGGATCTCTTCAGCTCCTATACTAGCATAGTTGCTGTACTTCTGAATCCATCCCTCTTTTTCCTTAAGCAAGTCTACTTTGGAGATAGATACTAAAGCATGAAGCTGTGGCCTTTGGACTGGTATTTGGGACATGCATGGGACACGCATTTCTTTAGGAGCTGACTGTCGGGCTTTCCATGATTCAGCCCGTGTGCTTAACACTGGCACTGCAGAAATTAAGAACAGGTGATGAGGTGTATTAGCCAAGATGTCTTTGCTGCCTTCATGTGGGAGCTTGATAGACTTCAAGTAGTACTGTCCTAACTAGAGGCCAATTATGTGTTATAACTATAATGCCTGTTGCTATTACATACTGTAGGTACTTCTCTATGCTTTATATTATTTATTTATTTGGTTTTTGAGATAGAGTTTCATGTAGCCTAGGTTAGCCTCGGACTCACTGTGTAGCTGAAGGTGACTTGAATCCCTTATCTTCTTATAGGATTATAGTGATACACCACAATACTCATTTAATTTGTGTCTTTGTGATGACTGATATAGATATTTACTTCTCATTTTGTGTTTAAAAACTGTAGGTTAACAGGAGTAAAATTGCTTGCCTAGAGCCCTACAGATTTATAAAGGCTAAATTTGTTGTTTTTTTTTTTTGTTGTTGTTGTTTTGTTTTTCGAGACAGGGTCTCTTTGTGTTGCTTTGGAGCCTGTTCTGGAACTAGCTCTTATAGACCAGGCTGTCCTCGAACTCGCAGAGATCCACCTGCCTCTGCCTCCCAAGTGCTGGGATTAAAGGTGTGTGCCACCACCGCCCAACCTATAAAGGCTAAATTTGAATTAAATTTGTCTAAAGCCTACTGGCTTAGTCATTAATTTGGATATTCTACTTTGATTTCCTTCCTTTGTTGTAGTGATGTTTCAATTGTATTTTAATAAATAAAGCTTGCCTGAAGTTCAGAGAGAAAAACAGCTGCACTGGTCAGCCTAACCGACCAGGCACTGGTGACACACACCTTTATTTCCAGTAGCCACACTGGTTTGCCATAGAAACTGGGCAGTAGTGGTGCACGCCTTTAATCCCAGCCTTATAGAGAAATATAAAATGGGAGGAGACAGCTCTCACACACAGTCTCATTCTGAGATTCCTGGAGGCAGGATCACTATTTCAGATTGAGGTAGAGGTAAGAGCCAGTAGCTGGCTGCTTTGCTTTTCTGACCTTCAGGTTGAGCCCCAATTTCTGTCTCTGGGCTTTTATTAATCATGCTGTACTTTGTCCAAATTTTCTGACTTTCCTTCATGGTTGTTTTTTTTTTCTCCCCCTCTCCAGAGTTGACCTGTTTACCACTGTACCCAAAGGCAGACCACGGGGCAAACCCTCATTACTGGCTGCAGCAAGACCTATGAGAGCAATACTGCCAGCCCCGGCGGCAAGTGTCGGACGGGGAAGCAGCATGGAACTGCCCAGGGCCAGACAGGCTTTCCCCTTGGGTAAGAGCTAGTTGAGACCTGGTGGGAGGGACTGTCTGATGGTAAGGATCCAGGTGGGGTGGTGGAGAATGGGGAGGGGAGAGCTGGGGAAGCTGAATGCTTTAAGTCACCAGGTTGACTTCTGGTTCTCTCAGATAAGACACCCTCTGTGAGAACTTGTGGCCTGAAGCCAAGCACACTGAAACAGCTGGGCCAACCCATCCAGCAGCCATCCAGCACTGGTGAAGTAAAGGTAAGACCCAATCCCAAGAGGAGCGCTGGAAATCTGCTCACTGTTGTCAAAAGATAGACACCAGTTTCTACGTGATAGGTCTGTGGGATATTAATTTAAAAAATGGAATTTTATTTTCTATTTTAAGCTTTTAAGCCTTTTGTTTAGATATAGATTTAAAATATGCAAAAATAAAAGTAATTTGATGAGTACCCATAAAATCTTTACCCAGAATCACCTGTTAACATGTGACCCGGTGCCAGCAAGCTGGCTTAGCACTTGCTGTTAAACCTGAAGACTTGTTCAGTCTGCAGGACCTACATGGTAGAAGGAGGGCATCAACTCTTGAATTGTCCTCTAGCCTCAACATGCGTGTTCCTGCCACATGTGCATACATGTGCAAAAGTGTCAGAACCCCGCGGGCAGGCCAGTGCAAACACCTGAATACTAACACTCCTTCCTTTTGCTTATCATAAAAAGGTGAGGAATTAGGGGTAGCAGGTGAGGCAGGAATGACGATGTTGTATTCTTGAGACTCTGCTTCGTGCTGGCCTGGGGGCATCACAATCTTTGGGGGACCTGAGAATTTGGGGTGCTGGCCAAGTCCAGGAATAGCTGGCTATTTCACCTCATTCTCATTAGGATGTCTTTTGGAGACCCACGACAGCTCCTTTCAAATCAAATCTGGCCTCAGTATTCCTTGGATCAGGCAATCAGGAAACCGAGAAAGAGTTCTCCCCTCTTTTTCTGTCTGTTCTTCCTCTCTAAAGGTCCTGTTTGTTTGCTGCAACGTGAGAGTCAGATGGAAAAGGCAGCTTCCTCTTGTTCAGCACATACCGGTTCTCCCTTTCTTTCTAGTTACTCAGCTCCTGTTTCCATCTGGCCCTGGTGATGTTTCCTCTGTCATTTTTCCTTGCCTTCTCAGGAAGACAGTCTTGCCAGTTTGGTACAAATTTGTTCTGTTTCACTTTTTACTTTTGACTGCCCTCAGTCAGTAATCAACCACCTGTGTCTCCTGGTAAATCAGATACAAAGGTGTCTCTCTCTCTTCCTGTCTTTCTCTGTCTCTCTGCTTCTCTACCTGTCTCACCCTCTGCCTCCCTCTCCCTCCCTCCTCCCTTTCTCTGCCTCTCCTCTCTTCTACTGTTCTGTCCCCAGAGGCCAGTCCCCCCCCCCCTTTTTCCATTCCCTTTCCCCCAGTAAAAAACCCCTGCACATGAGCTCTGTTGCATGGTGTCTTTCTCTCCCGTGCCACTTTTTTAAATTATAACAGTAACAGTATTCAGTTGTGTGTCTATATGGATAGCTATTACAATTGTATTGCCCCAAAGCAACTGTAAACCTGATGTGAAATGTAGTGGCCCATAGACGTGAACCCGATGTTCAGTCTTTGTACTGGTGACCACCAGCGAGCATTCCTGAGTGTGCATTTGGAGCATGAGTCTGTAGTTTCCTCAGGAATTATTTCAGGTTATTTTAGGGCCCAGAACCTGAGGATTTTGCCTAAGGTATAGAACAACACTGATTTGTTCTAATCCACAGCTATCAAATTGCTCAAGTAGCAGGACACCTCAGGTCAAAGTTGTGGAGGTCAAGCCAGATGTGTTTCCTCCATACAAATACAGCTGCACTGTCACATTGGTAAGTGTGCGCCCTGGTGGTGGGAAGTTGTTTTGATTTTTATGGTTGAAGGTTTGTAGGAGCCAGGAGCAATAGCAGAGAATGAGCTCAGCAAGGTCAGAAATGAGTGACTGGTGCTAAACACCCCATTGCTGGTACAAATGATGGTTGCTGGGTAAATCCGCTGAGTTATATTGGTTTGTTTGTTTCAGGTAGATACAAAGTATGAGCCAGGACATTTTTGTTAAGACTAAGTAGAGATCAGAGTTGGAATGTTAGCATAGAAAGTGGGTCCGGAGCTGGAGAGACGGCTCAGTGCTTAAGAGCACTGGCTGCTCATCCAGAGGACCTTATTCAGTTCCCAACACCTACATGGTGACTCACAGCTGTTAGTAACTCCAGTCCCAGGGTATCTGATAGCTTCTGGCCTCCGCAGGCACCAGTCACATATGCAGTGGTGAACAGACAGACATGCAGGCAAAATACCTGCATACATAAAATTAAAGAAAGAAAGGGGCTAGGCGGTGATAGCACATGGCTTTAATCCCAGCACTTCGGAGGCAGAGGCAGGCAGGTCTCAGTGAGTTCTAGACCAGCCTGGTCTATAAAGTGAGTTCCAGGAGGGGGGGGAGAGAGGGGGGGTGACNAGGGAGAGGGAGGGAGGGAGGGAGGGAGGGAGGGAGGGAGGGAGGGAGAGAGAGAGGGAGGGAGAGAGAGAGGGAGGGAGAGAGAGAGAGAATGAGAATGAGAATCCACAGATAAGTTTAGGCAGTAGTGCACTTTCTTCTCTAAAGCATGAACATCAAACACAAATCATCTTCATGGATTTGAGAAGTGTGCTGATAAAGCAGCTCATGTGGCTCCTGTAGCCTCCCCACAAGGGTTTCCCTACCCTCCATTTCTGTACTGTTTATGGAGCTGGGGATTGAACCCATAACCTCACATGCTCGGCAAGCACTCCAGTACTGTCATTCCCAGCACTTTTTAAGATTTTGAGACAAGTCTCACTACGCTTTTTAGCCTGGCCTTGAGCTCACTCTTTAGCCCTAGCCTAGCCAGCCTTGAAAGTGTGTTCGTGCATTCGCCTGTGGGTGCATGCGTGCATATGTATATGAGTGCTGAAGGTTGATGTTAACACTTCCCTCAATTGCTCTTCATCTTATTCTTGAGGTAAGTTTTCAGTCAGATACCGTGATCACTGGCTAGTGAGCTTGTTCTAGGAAGCCCAGCTCTCACTTCCATTGCTGGAATTATAGGGGACCTGCTGTGCTTACCTGGCATTTATTTGGAAGCTGGGGTTCTGAACTTTGTTCATTTTGCTTGCAGGTGCTTTCACTGCTGAACCATCTGCCCCTCCCTTTTTGTGAGGCAGGGTTTTGTGTATGAGTTTAAACATGGGTCTCCCTTTTGTAGGATTTGGGCCTGGCTACATCAAGAGGACGGGGAAAGTGCAAAAATCCTTCTTGTAGCTATGTCTACACCAACCGGCATAAACCTCGGATTTGTCCTAGCTGTGGTTTTAACCTTGCTAAAGACAGGACTGAGAAAACCACGAAGCCGGTGAGTTCCTTCCCCAAATACTTGCCTTAGACTTGAGTTGTGCTTTGGATTCTAGTACATGATTAGGTGGTTAGAGTCAGGATTTGGGACCAGGTTGTATGTTCTGAACTTGACAAAATGCCTCCTCTGGGCCTTGTCCTCAGTGCCAAAGTTGATCCATATCCTAGTCTATTTTCTGCTTCTCTAACAAAATGTCCTGGATGGATAACTTAACATAGAAGTAGGTTGTGCACTTAACAGTTTTGGAGGCCGAGAAGTCGAGAACATGGTGCTGGTTGGTATCTGCTTAGCATGGGGTGTATCATGTATCAAGTCTCACTGTATCATGACGTGGTCGAAGGCATCTAAGACAGAATGAGGAGCCAGAGAGAGCTTGCTTCATAACTAAGCCACAGTTAATCCATTCATGAATTAGTGCATTTGAAACCACATCCTTTTAAGTTCCATTAGTATGTGACTCAGGATTACTTAATACATGAACTTTGTAGCCTGTTGACTACACATTGACCACTGAGACCCAAGAGTTCAAGCACTTAGGACACATCAAGGCCTTAACCAGACGAGCATGAGAGACTGTCTTAGGACGGTTCTATTGCAGTGACAAAGCTCCTCCACCAGGGCAACTTATAAAAGAAAGCATTTAATTGGTGGCTTGCTTATAGTTTCAGAGAGTTAGTCCATAACTGTCATGGCAGGGAGCATGATGGCATGATGTTGAAAGCTTACATGTTAGGAAAGCAACCACAAGACTTTAGAGAGAGAGCTTACTGGGAATAGTGTATACTTTTGAAACCTCAAAGCCCACCCTCAGTGACATGTCCTCCAACAAGGCCACACCTCCTAGTCCTTCCCAAGTTCCACCAACTGCCAAACAAGCATTCAAATATTACAGAAGCCTAGCTCAGACCTGAAAGTTGATTTATTCCTTCTGAAGTCACTGCCAGCCCCAAGACAAGTGAGGGGGAATGGGAGTGTCCCTTAGAGCAGGTTAAGAATCAAAGATGAAGTATGGCCACTCCAGGTCTAAATTGTATCTCTAAAGAAGAACAGAATTTTGATGGCCAGAGAAGACATGCTCAAAAACAAACATCTTAGGTTTGGGGTTTATTTTATTTTTGTTGCTGTTCTGTTTTTCTTGTCATCAAACCCAGAGCTTCCTAGAGGCCAAGCAAGAGCTGTTGACTAAGCTACAGCCCCAGCCAGTGACCAACATGGAAAGTAAAGAGTTTTCCATTGGCTAGAGAAGGTATTTTAGGGTGGCAGGAGTCAGATAGGAAAGCCATATTGGGACTGTTCCACTTAGAATCTTTCAGCCAAGGAGAGGCCTAGAGGAAGTTATTTGAAAAAGGAGACGGAATTTAGAGAGAATTTAGAGTTTAGAAGTATTGAGTGCACTTGCAGAGGGTCTGAGGGCCTGAGTTCAATTCCCAGCGTCCACATGGCAGCTGTAACTTCAGGTCCAGCTCCAGGTGCTCTTTTCTGGCCTCTGAAGGCGCTTGCTAGTGGTGCACAGATGTGTGTGTGTGTGTGTGTGTGTGTGTGTGTGTGTGTGTGTGTGTATGGCAAAACATCTAAACACATAAAGTAAAAAGAAATAGATTTTTTTTAAAAAAAAATCTGAAATGGTCATGCAGTTGTGGCACACGCCTTTAATCCCAGCACTTGGGAGGCAGAGGCAGGTGGATCTCTCTGAGTTCGAGGCCAGCCTGGTCTACAAGAGCTAGTGCCAAGACAGGCTCCAAAGCTACGGAGAAACCCTGTCTCGAAAAACTAAAAAAAAAGAAAAACTTAAAAATAAAAAAATTAAAAAGATTATAAAGATGGGGAAGCTGCTTCAGGCCTCAAGTTCCCTCTGCATATGGAAGGAGCCTTAATGGTGATGAGCTTTGCTCTCTGGTCTCCACATCTGTTTCCAGCCTGAGGTGTATTCAGGGTCACTGACCTTTTGAGAAAGGGGAGTGGAACTAATTTGGAAATGAGATGCTATTAAGATTGAGAACTGAGAGTCTTGACTGAGTTGGAAGCTTAACTTCTGAGATTTAGTTTCCCATTAGTGAAACAAAAGAGGGAGGTGAACTAAATTAAAAATCAGCATTTTACTCGGAGAATCAGAAGTCCAAGGGAATGTTTCCTTGAGCTTCCAGGAGTCTACTCTAAAGGCTTGCTGTGGGAACGTCGATCTATAGCCTTCCTCTGGTTCTCTTGCTCTACCACAATCCCTCACTGGAAGTGAGCCTTCTATCCTGGATTCTGTGAGCGTGCATTGTGCTCCTCTTCTCATGGAGCTGATTGTGCCCTGTGTTGCCTGCTTCCCTCAGCTCCCTACAGAACATATTTCTTCTTCTAGACAGGCATTGAAGTTTTCTTTACATCCTACTCTAGAGTCTCAATACACATGTGTGTTGAGAAAAATAAAACTGGTCAGCCACTAGAACATTTTTGTATAGCCTTTGGAGCCCCCAGGTAGCAGTACATTCTCTTTGCACTTTGTTTGCAGCTCTTGTAATTAAAACTGTACCCTTTCTTGGCTGCTGTGGCCTTCAGTCCTTTCTCTCCTTGTCTGGTTCCAGAGAGATAGTGAGGCTCAATGTCATCACAGCAAGGAATACATAACCTTCCAGGACGGCCTGTCCTGATCTTACTTCTTTTGCTGTTATTCATTCATTTATCAAGCATATGTTTAATGCCATATGAGCCAGGTGTTCAGAAGTGACTGTCATCCAGCCCCTTTCCTGAAGAGCTTACAGTCTAGTGCAGGAGAAAGTCAACCCTAGGTTTACAGACAGAGAGGCAGAGTGCTCCTAGTAAAGAAAACACACTCTTGTTACTCTGCAGTTAGCTTCTAAAGAAGATTGTGACACAGGTCTCTTGTTTGTTTGAAGAAGAAATAGGCAAGTAGGTGCCTGTCCTCACCAATGAGGGGCCAGTGATTGTATTAGTTACTTCTCATTGCTGTAACCTGACAAGAAACAGCTTAAAGGAAGAAAGAGACCTGGTGTGGTAGGCCATATAGGCAGATGAATCTCTGGAGTGTGAAGCTAGCCAGGACTACAGAGTGAGTTCTGGGCTAGCCAGGGTTACACAGAGAAACCCTGCTCTGTAGGCGAAGGCTGCTTGTTCGTTTCTCGGCCATCCAGCCCTGAAATAATCACACAGAAACTTTTTTCTTTTTTTTTTAATTTTCAAGACAGGGTTTCTCCGTAGCTTTTGGTTCCTGTCATGGAACTAGCTCTTGTAGACCAGGCTGGCCTCGAACTCACAGAGATCCACCTGCCTCTGCCTCTGTGCTGGGATTAAAGGCGTGCGCCACCACCACCCAGCTTCACACAGAAATTTTACAATACTGTTTGGCCAGTAGTTTAAGCGTATTTTTAGCTAGCTCTTACATGTTAAATTAACCCATTTCTATTATTCTGTGTATTGCCCCAAGGCTCGTGGTTTACCAGTACGGTTGGTTCTGGCTGGCAACCAGGCGTCTTTCTGCTTAGGCAGCTTCATGATGTCTCTCTGACTTTGCCTACTTTCTCCCAGCATTCAGTTTAGTTTTCCCACCTAGCTCTATTCTGCCCTGCTGTAGGCCAAAGCAGCTTTATTCATTAACCAATAAAAGCAGCACATGTATAGAAGGACTTCCCACACCATTTCCCTTTTCTGCCCAAATAAAAAGGAAGGTTTTAACTTTTAACACAGTACATATACAAAACAGGTAACAAACAAGAATTACATTTACAATGTTTGTATCTACTTTATCTTTTATCCTAACTAAGGAAAACTATAATTATAACTAGCTATTCTTCAACCCCATCAAAGACTCCAGAAGGATATAATATTACCTAAGTAAACAGAAAGTACATTGTAAGTAAATTCCAAAACTCTAGAATTGACAGAGACATCTTGCTGCCTGGACAGTCACCAAAAGTTTTTCTGTATTTTTGGAGTATCCATCTTCAGCCTACAGACTCATAGTATCTAGTAGACTTTTCCATGAAGCAGGAAATTTCAAAGACAGTTTGGCCTATATTGGCAGTTTGTCAGTTACTCTCTTCTGTGTCTTGCAGAATGTCTGACAGACTCTTTCATGAGCCAGGAACCCCGAAGGACTGTCTCACATTTAGGCAAGTTCAGCAGTCATTTTTCTGTGGGTCCTGAATGTCCAGTTCATACAGCATAACATCAAGCAGTCCAGGCAAGAGCAGTGTTTTGCCCAAATGGCTAACAAACTCCATATCAAAGTAGATATGTGCTGCCAGGAGCAGATGTGTCTAATTGTCATGAAAAGTCCTCAGTTCTTAAAACATTTAAATGTCATATTCTGTAGGTCTTTGAAAGATTTGAAGAATATCCATATGAAATATATCTCTGTACATCTAGAAAACCTAACATTACTATAAGATTGACTATTATAGATAACTATCTATTAACCTGTATTTGTTAATTATACATTACATTTTAAAATGAGCTGCACAAACACAATACCTTAATCAAGAGCAGAAATATATATTTAACAAAATTGACCTCAAATTTGTATCATTAAACCAAGATCCATACCAATACAAAGTATTCATCTCTATAGCATATCCCCCTTTAAATGTAAACAAATATTTATAAACAATCATTTTGGGAATTTGGGCATAGTTTTCTCCAAACTGCTTCCTGCTGTTTTTTGGGTGAAGTATTTTTAGGGTTCTTGAAGACTTTTCAGGGTGTCTTGGTCCATCAAACCACATTAGTCTGGAAGGAATCCACAGGTTCACATCCTCTATGGAAACAAAAGCAGAACCTCTTTTCCAAAGCAATGTATCCTTAGACCCAAATTTTGAAGTCAAGATATCTTTAAAGCAGAGAAACCCTGTCTCGAAAAACCAAAGAAAAAAAGATATCTTTAAAGTATATATGTTGGTTTAGTTTAGTAGCCCATACAATGAAATGTCTCTCTGTACTTAGCTCATTCATAGTCAAAAAAAACAAAAAACAAAAACAAAACCACACAATAGTATACATAATCCAAACTCTTTGTATATATTCCATCCTTTTTTTTTTAAAGATTTATTTATTTATTATGTATACTATATTCTGTGTGTGTGTGTGTGATGTTCTGCCTGCATGTGTCCCTGTAGGCCAGAAGTTGACACTAGATCTTATTACAGGTGGTTGTGAGCCACCATATGGTTGCTGGGAATTGAACTCAGGACCTCTGGAAGAACAACCAGTCAATCAGTGCTCTTAACCACTGAGCCATATATATCCAGCCCTATATATTCCATCCTTATGTGGCATATTTTTCTTACTCTGTTACTTTTTCTACAAGTTTAATATTTATTTTATCATCTTTACTCCTTTAATCTATGACTGTCTATACTCTTATATTGTAACTGTCTATACTTTTTTCCTCTCCCAAACCTATGTACATTTGTCCAGCACTGTGACCCATTCAGAAGTCTTTTTCATCTGAATGCTGTCTTTATTGCATATCTGTAAATATTTTTTGACCAGGAGTGCCCTTTTTTTTTTTAATGCTAAGCAGGCATGGCATAGGACCAAGGCTGCTTTGCCTTTTGGTTCCTTCTAGTCTAACATGGCGGAGGTCCATTTACTGTCAGCTCTACAAGCCATGCTCTCCACCCCAGCTCCAGGGATGCAGGGGGTCTATGTTTCAATAAAGCAATTTGTAACATGCTGCTCATAGACCCCATTTAAGTGCAGGACCTCCTGAAAGAGCCAGAGATCATTCTGCCAGCACAAACCAGGAAGCCCTTTTTAAAGAAGCCATGCAGTTTTTGCCACTAAAGATGAATCAAGAAACTTTTTAAAGGAGCCGTGGTGCTCCTGCTTGCCACCAGCAAACAGAACCCATCAAAAAAAAAAATGCAGCTGCCAAAAAGCTGCGTTAAACTCTGTTCTTTTGTGTCTAGAATTCCTTTCCAAGTTCTCTTGGGTTTTACATGGATGTAGTTTCCCACATTGGGCGCCATTTGTAGATGGACACTAGCTCAGAATGCAGTATAATAAAGGATTCTTTATTTAGGAGGAAACTCACAGGTCAACAGTCCTGCACGAGTGGGGAATAGGAACTGAATCCAGTAGCCAAGAGACTGAACGCGCAAACTTTATGGCTGCATTTATAGTATAAGAGATGATGCCCAAGTGGGCTGGTATCTTAAACGCTATTGGCTGAATGAGTTCCCACAGCACTTGTCTCCCCCACCAACACTACCAAAGAGAGAGAGGGAAAGGGAGGAAAGAGATTAGCTTTACTTTGTTCAAGGTTTGGTTTAAGGGGCATAGTTTATGGCTAGAAAGGCTTGGTAACAGAGTAGCCTAAGGCTGTGCCATGGGGATGTTGGCAGATCAAGATGACGCTAGTGTTCAGCAGACTGGCACCTTATAGCTTACGGGATCTATTCTCTCCTTTCACCATGTGGATTCCTGGGATCAGACTCCAGTTGTCACAGTTAGCATGGCAAGTGTCTTTACCCACTGAGCCTTCTCTCTAGTCTCCTTTTCCCCTTTTCTTTCAGTGTAGCACTCTAGCCTGTGGGTTGGAAGGGGGATCTACATACACACTTTCAGGTAGATATTCCCTCCTCAGTTAAACTTCTGTGCAAACACCATCACATCCAGAGGTGTATCTCCTAGGTGGATCCAAATGACTGAAGAGCAACAGTGAAGGAATGCACTCAGGGAACACAGAGGAGGTATCTGCCTGAGAACCTTGTCCCAGTAGTGTAGGAGGAGGCCGCTTGTTGGTTCCTGACTGCCCAGCCCCCAAAAAATCACACAGAAACTGTGTTAATTAAATCACTGCTCAGCCCATTAGCTCTAGCTTCTTATTGGCTAACTCTTACATATTAATTTAACCTATTTCTATTAATCTGTATATCACGACGAGGTCATGGCCTATCAGCAAAGTTTCAGCACGTCTCTCTGGCAACATCTCCATGGCTTCTCCCTGACTCTGCCTCCTTTCTCCCAGCATTCTGTTTTAGTTTTCCCGTCTAGCTCTGTTCCCCTATAACTCTAATTAACCAATAAAAGCAACACATAGACAGAAGGACCTTCCACACCACAGTAGTGTATAACACTCCCTTTGGCCCTGAAGCCACACAGAATTAAAGACAAAGACTTTTTACATATTTAGGCATCAGTGGGTCCTCACTGAATTACAGTCACTTTGCTGATTGACTTGCGCAGTATCTCAATTAATCTGTACACTGGTTTCGAAAGATTACAAGATGTGTTTTGTTGATAGAAAAATTGAGCCCCGGAGAGCCTTTAGTGGCATGGGTAGTTATTAGCTGAACTGATAGGAACTTTTTTTTTTCCCAGCCCAGGCATAGGCCCATTCATCTGCTCTTTGCAGAATGATGGCTTTGGGCTGAGGCTGTCTCTCTACCCCTGCTTAATGATTTGATCCACTCCTTTCTCAGGAGGCGAGCTCACCACACCCAGATGTGCCAAGTACCACAGAAGCCCTGAACACAGCCCAAAGGGAGATCCAGCGTCAGTCCACGCTGCAGCTGCTGCGAAAAGTCCTGCAGATTCCTGAGAACGAGTCGGAGCTGGCTGAGGTCTTCGCCTTGATTCATGAACTAAACAGCTCTCGACTTATCCTGTCCAACGTGAGTGAGGAGACAGTCACCATCGAGCAGACCTCTTGGTCGAATTATTATGAGTCTCCATCCACGCAGTGCCTTCTCTGTAGCAGCCCATTATTCAAGGGGGGACAAAAGTAAGCACCACTTCACTCTGCCTCTAGCTGCCCCGTCCCACTTGGCTCACGTTGCCTCTTTCTTCAGACAGCTTTACAGTTATAGCTTGTGTTTTCCTTACGTTTCCTTTACCTTCTCAATTGCTAATGGTAAAATAACTAGCAATCAGGGACCGGAGAGTTTGCTCAAAGTTTAAGAGCAATTTTTGCTCTTGTAAAAGACCCAGCTTCATTTCCCATCACCCGCATGGCAGCTCACAACTATCTGTAACTCTAGTTCCAAAGGATCTGATGCCCTTTTCTCCAGGGGCACCAGACAGCACACACATGGTGCACATACATACATGCAGGCAAACCATACCACTTACAAATAAATAAATTTTTTTTTTTTTTTTACTTGTTTTTCTTGAATTGGCAGTCCGTTTTAGAGATGCCTAAAACTTGTTGTCACCAGCCTAGGATTTAGATTATGTCTGGCCTGCCCAGTGCAGCTTTGGAGTTTTCAGTCATATAACAACTTGAGAGTCAGATCACCTTGTAAGTACAGTTTCACAGCCCAGATCCCAATGAAATGGAGACGTTCAGCTAGACAGTCTTGGAAATACAGCTCCAGAACCTTTTGTTGGTTGCAGTAAAGTCTGGAGAATTTTGCTTCTGACTACAAGCCTGTCGCTTGCAGAAAGAAATTGACTTCCCTCCTGGTTTTTGTTCTGGCTTTTAGCTCTCTGGCTGGGCCTCAGGAATGCTGGCTCCTGACAGCTAACCGGCTGCAGGTGGTGACTGCTCAGGTGAAGATGTGTCTGAACCCTCATTGTTTGGCCCTGCACAGCTTCATGGACATCTACACAGGTAGGTGCTAGCCTTCTCTGTCCTTACCACCCCAGAACAAGTTTTGATATTGATTGTAGCTTTGCCCCTCTGTGCACTGCATCTATTCTTGGCAGCTTCTGAAGAAGCAGTCTTTTTCCTGATTACCTCAGCCCCAGCCAGTTTCCTCAGGTGAGACCCTTCTCTGGGAGTCATTAGTTTAAAAGTAACAACTCTCAACATACGTTTAATCCCAGCACTTAGGAGGCAGGCAGGTGGAGCTCTGTGAGTTTGGGTCCAGCCTGGTCACATAGTGAGTTCTTGGCCAGTCAGGCCTACATAGCAAGGCCCTGTCTCAAAACAAAGCCCAAATCTTAGTTGTAGAAAAGCCGGTCAATGCAGACAAGTTTAAAAGACGGCAATGTTCCTGCCTCTCTGATCCTCAGACCCATTCATTGTCTACAGAACATCAGGAGCTAGAGAACATTCTAGGTTTTCTTTGAACAGAGGTGGAGTGGGCTGGATATTGTGGAGCATGCTATTGTAATTTAACACCACACCGTCATCATCTCTACCAGCAAGTAGGGAAGCAACCTTTTAATAAAGATGTTTGCATTCCATTTTATAGTCTTGCTTATAATTAAATAATTGTGTGCCTTTCTTTTTGGGCAAATTCTCAAAAGTGGAAATTCTGTATTTATACTCTCCCCTTTATTCAGCACTATTAGACCATATACAGCTTTTCTCATACAGCTTTTCTCTTTTCTTTTCTAAACTTGCCTTCTCTGGTGCTTTGGGCTTCCTTACTCTTTGCCTAAAGCTCTCCTCCACATACAGTTGCTTATCCGACTTGTAGTTGGCCAACCTCCACGTCAGTTTACACGGGCTTGACTTTTTCCCTTATCTTCAGTTTCTCTGGGCAGCTCTGAGATTTACAGCTTCCTGCCCTGATGTTTTTTCTTTAAACACACAATTAAAACTGTTTTTGAACCTCAAAGACACAACAAAACCCATGTACCAATTGTGAGAGTGTGAATCCTAAATTGACATGTAAAATTTGTGCTGAAGATTAAGGTGTAGTTGTTTTTTGTCTAGACAAGGTTTCTCTGTAGTTTTGGAGCCTGTCCTGGAACTAGCTCTTGTAGACCAGGCTGCACTCGAACTCAAAGAGATCCACCTGTCTCTGCCTCCCTAGTGCTGGGGTTAAAGGCATGTGCCACCACCACCTTGTGAAGTCTTACGTTGTCAGTTAGCACTTAATATTATTTTGTGTCCCAAACTTAAAGTGCCCATTTTTCTCCAGTGTAATCTATGTAGGCCAGTGCTCAGGATTATATATATTTTAAGTAAAATTCTTTAAATTTGCATAGAGTGCCCAGCATTTGAAAGGCAAAAGCAGAGAGATCTCTGAGTTTGAGGCCAACCTAGTCTGATCTACATAGTGAGTTCAGGACAACCAGAGCCACATAGAGAGAACCTGTCTTGAAAAAGAAGAAAAGAGAAGTTACATTTGTTGATATTCTGTGAGTTTCCTCTTAGACATGCACTGAGTCCTGAAACAGTCAAGCCTCTTGTTTTGTTCCTTTATAGTTGAACTCACTTCATTTGGTAGTGTTATGACCAAGTTTCTGGTCCCCAAATGAATTCATGGAGCTGGATTTCCGATGCAGATTACATGAGGGTTTTTTTATTCAAGCTCAAGTTTGGGCCAACGCTTTTCCAGCATCCCAGCATGGTGGGTGCAGGAAGTGTAAAGAAAAAAAAAAGTAGAACTTTTTAAAGGGGAAATGCCATAATCAGGGGAGTTTGTGTCCTTTCATTTTGGGATTAGGTAAGAAGGGCATAGGATAAGGTAGTTTATGAAACCATTGGTCAGTTTTTGGGCACAAAAACCTAACAAGTATCCATTAGTAACTGACAAGGTATCTATCTTCAAGGACAGGATGCCTCCTAGGAACATCTGGACCTCATTAAATTTTATGGCCCTGCTCCCTATCTCTTTAATTGACTATTTTTACAGTATCTGTTCATATTTCTGCTGTCGCAGCACATCTCTGGAGCTGAGATCGCCCATCCCCCAGCTCATTATATGGCTTAGGATGAAGCCCCTCCCTCTTTAAAATGGAGTCTGTGAAATGAGGTTCTCACAGTTGCCGCTTCCTTCTCACCCTCGCAGTTCCTCTACCAAAAACGCCGTGTAAACACAACGATAGCATGTGGTCCTCTGACCTGTTTTCCGGGCTTTATTGTGCATTAGTGCATGTCCTTTTCATCAGTGACTGGTCTTCTCTGTGCGGATGTGCTAGTCTGTCCATTCACCTGCTGAGCGGTGTTAGAATGTCTTCCAGTCACGAATAGAGCTGCTCTAAGCCTTCATTTACAGGATTGTTTGAGAGCAGATATTGTCACTTCTTCTAAGTGACTACATGATGATTCAAATGGTAAGTGTATGTTTAGTTTTATAATTGATTGCCAAACCATTTCCAAAAAGGCTTTATCATTTTGCATTCTTTCCATTAGTGTGTGAGAATGTTTGCCTGAGGTGGTGTTTTTAGCCATCCTAATTGGTGTATGCAATGGTATTGCATTGTAGTTCTCCACTGCCCAGTGGTGGATGCGTGTTTTTGAAGAAGTATTTATTTTTAGCCTTTCTCTGTGTATTAGTGTGTGTTGTGGTACACATGGGGAAGCCAGAGGACAGCCTCGGGTGTCAGTCCTCTCTTTCTGCCTTGTTTGAGACAGTTTCTTGTTGGCTGCTGCCTCGGACAGGCTGGTTGGTCCAGGAATTCCCAGGAATTCTCTCTGCCTCCCATCTGGAAGTGCCGAGGCTACAGATACACTGCCATACCACCCTTTCCTGGGTTGTGGGGATCCAGACTCAGGTCCTAACTCTTGCATAGTATATACTTTACCCACTGAGACATCTTTCCAGTCCTTACTGTCTTTCTAGCCGGAGGTCTGTTATGTGGGTTAGGGTGGCTGGCTCACAAGCCTCAGGATCTGCCAGTTTCTGCTTCTCCTGGGATAACGAATGTGTAATACCATTCCCGACTTCCTGTTAATCTACACACGGGTTCTAAGGATTTAACCCAGAACAGATAGTCACTTTATTGACTGAACTATCTTCCCAGCCCATATAATCCACATATGTTTAACTGTTGATTTTATGTATTTATTTTTATGCCGTGTGTATATATGAGTGCCTGCATAAATGTATGTGCCCCTTATGGGTACTGGTATCAACAGAGGCCAGAGAGCATTGGATCCCGTGAAACTGAAGTTATATAAGGCGGTTGTGAGCTATCACATAGGTGCTGGGAACTAAACCCAGGTCCTCTGCAAGGGTAGTAAATGCTCTTAACTGCTGAACCATCTCCCCAGCTCCTTATTTTAACCTTTATATAAAGCGTAAGGTTCAGATTTATTTGTTGGCTATAGATGTCCATTGTCCCATTACTGAAAATCCCTAACCTATGTACATGAGACTGCTTTGAGACATTAGATTGTTCCATTGTTTATCTTTGCTAGTATATACTGCCTTCTGTTGTTTTGTCTTCCTCATTTTTGTGGCAGCCCTAGTTGTCATGGAATTTGCTATGTAGAACAGGTTGACCTCTAACTTAAAAGAGAGTTATCTATCTGCCTCTGCTTGGATTAAGGGTTCATATTGATTTTTTTTTCATTCATCAAGAGAATAGAGTTTTTTTACATGACTTTAAGGAGAGTAAGAGAGTGTTACTCTATTGTGAATTATATTTGTGAATTTGCTATGTAGAACAGGTTAGCCTCAAACTTACAGAGATCTATCTGCCTCTGGTTTCCGTTTTTCTTGGCTTTTTTGCAAGTTTTCTCTGTTTATGGTCTTTTAAGTTTGTGTGTGATGATTTGGGGGACACAAAAGGTTCTATTTGTTTGTTTTCTCTTTTTAATTTTTGAATGGCCAGGGCTTTGGTATATGTTCTCAGCCTTTGCTGTCACACCTAGAAAGGCCCGGGAGTGCACGTTCCAGAATTTGTTTTTGTCATGGTGAAGCTTATGTTGTATAAATGAAAAAAACCTCTCATTTTACTGGTCTGGACTGCACTTCAATTCACCTTACTTTTTACCCCCAGGGTGATCTTAGAGCCTGTGCTAGACCCACCACGTCCCTGCGCGAAGAGGCCCCTGACACCCATGGTGCAGCTGTGAGGGAGGGAAGAGCGGCGCCTCTGGGCTGACACTGAGACAGAGATAGAGAAAGGCTTCTTGTTTAAATTAAGATTAAAAAAATGCTGTAAATAGTGTTTCATTCAACAGTGGCTTATAGACAACTTCAGAACACTTAGGTCTACTTCCCTTTTGTAAAATGTGTTGTTCAGTTTTAGGACTGTACTGTGACTTACTCCCCTGTAGTCGACATTGTTTGCACTGTTAATGCTATAGTAGTAATCCCTTTGCCTGTTTTCAATCTGCAGGTCTTTTTAATGTGGGGAATAAGTTGCTAGTAAGCCTGGATTTACTTTTTGCAATTCGGAACCAGATTAAGTTGGGAGAAGACCCCAGAATGTCTGTCAGTGTTGTGCTGAAGTCTGTGCAGGAGCAGACAGGTAAGATCATTTCAGGTTCAGTCCTGAGCACTGAACTGAATTTTAGTGTTGACTTCAATTGGAATGAGAGTCTAGTATTTTGGAAAGGAGATATATCTGATTTTCTAATAATATATTCTTCCATCAGAATTTTATAAACTGACTTTGGAAAACGTTTTATGCATCAGGGCCTTTAGCAAGAAATTACAACTGACTTTTCGAATCAGATCCATCAGTCACATGTGGATTTGACTTTATGGTATATTAGTTGGGCTCTTTCTAAGTACAGAGCTCCTTGATGTCTTCTAGTTCCAAGGCTCGTGTGGAGACCCAGGTTTAGGGATCTGGGTCTTTGCTACCTAGAAATTCTTTGCCTGTGTGCTTTCCTTCTGCTTGTTCTTGGTCTGTCCCATTTCTACAGGCTTCAGTTCTGTGCTTTGTCTGCTGTGGTGAGACAGACGGCCATGTAGGCTTGTGTTTGAGACTTGACTCTGCCACGTAGTGGCAGTGTGATTTTGAACAACTTGTTCTGATTATCTGACCATAAAAGAAGACAATAATAGCTCCTGACTCATAAAAAATTAAAACCATGTAAGAATTAGTCTGAGTAGTATATTCAAAACCTTCAGAGTAACATCTAGTACCTAGGAGGTATTAGTTCAAAGCAGCTGTCCTTTGATTGGAGCTGCCACCAGAACTCTTGCAGATTGCTGTTCTTGCTGTCTTCTGGCTTATCTGGTGCTTTTAGGGTCTTTTTCTGTGACCTCTTGCTGTCCTTCCAGAGAAGACACTGACCTCAGAGGAGCTGAGCCAGCTGCAGGAGCTGTTGTGCAATGGCTATTGGGCTTTTGAGTGTCTCACTGTTCGTGACTACAATGATATGATCTGTGGGATCTGTGGTGTGGCCCCCAAAGTGGAAATGGCTCACAGGAATGAAGAGAATGTGCTGGCACTGAAGAGTGTGGAGGTAAGTCCCTCTCAGCCACCATAGCCACTTTCAGAACTGTCCTGTCATTTGGGCAGCTTCCCTCCTGCATGTTGTTCCCAAGAGTACATGGCTCCAGTCCTGTGTAGGTGAGGCCAGTGGCTTTTTCCTCCTACAGCCAGTATTTCATTTGAGAATGGTCAGAAGGAAACAGGGTTGGTTGGTTTGTTTTCCTTTTTTATTCTCCCTCCCCACCCCCTTTCTTTTAGTGATGCTGCAGATCAAACCCAGAGTCTCCTGTATGCTAGGCAAACACACCCCAGTGCTTATTTGTTTCCTTTACCTAAGAATTGAACCGGGAACTATGTGCATATTAAGCATGTGCTCTGTAGCTGAGCTACACTCCTAGCCCTTACATGCACTCTTTAGGCTTCTTAGAAAGTAGTTTAAAAATGATCCCCAAAACTTCTGTCTTCATGGAGACAGAAGACAACTTCTGCTTTGGGAAAGATGGATAGGAAAGAGAATGTTTTCAGTAGTAATGGAACAGGATGGTGAGAAAGGGTTTCTCTTTATAGAGGGTAGTCAGGGGAGGTCTCTGACAAATGACATGAACAGAGCTGTAGAAACAAGGAGATGTTTTACTCTTTGGTCCAGAGCATGCTGTGGTGTGAGAGGGAGTGAGGATGTATCCTGGCTGTCAGGTTCTTGGTCTCCCCAAAGTCCTGCTTTCCTGGTACATAATATGGGGTGCATACTGTATTGTTCCTAATCTGTAGCTCATAAACGTTGCCCTATTTTTATCTCTATTTTGTTTTCTTTCTTTGCCTTTTTATCTTGACCACTTTATCTTGTAGTTTACCTGGCCAGAATTCTTGGGCTCCAGTGAAGTAAACGTGGAGGACTTTTGGACTACCATGGAGACAGAGGTGATTGAGCAGGTTGCCTTCCCCACAAGCATCCCCATCACGAAATTCGACGCCTCTGTTATCGCTCCCTTTTTCCCACCACTCATGAGAGGAACTGTGGTCGTCAACACTGAAAAAGACAAAAATCTGGATGTGCAGCCAGTACCTGGTAAGATCACTTGGTTTCTCTTTGGTGTTAAGAGGATGGCTCGGTCAGAAGTCTTGAACATTGGCCATGGCCAGAAAGAGCAGTGGCAGAATACCAGGCCCAGCTCAGGGACTGTGTCTTCAGTACAAATCTCTGTCTGGGCATAGTAGTAAAACCTTTTTAATTCTCAGAAGGCAGAGGTAGTTGGATCTCTGTGAGTTCAAGGCCAGCCAGCCAAGACTACAAAATGAACTCTGTCTCTAAAAAGGAAAGTTAGATTTTGCGTTATAACCCAAAGTGATATCCACACTCTGGTGCATGTCACATCTATAGTTAGAAATTTGCAAAGAACAGTCATTTTCCTATGCCTAGTATAATGTACTTTATTTTTGTCTTAATTTTTAAAAGCCTAGAAATGAAGTACTAAGTTTGTCAGTGCTCTGTGTGATACACTGGCTACAAATATTGTTTCTTTTTTTTGGCTTTTTTTATTGATATTTATTGAGCTCCGCATTTTTCTCTGTTCCCCTCCCTGCCTCTCCCCTCCCCTTCCAACCCTCCCCCAAGGTCCCCATGCTCCCAGTTTACTCAGGAGATCTTGTCTTTTTCTACTTTCTACTTCCCATGTAGATTAGATCTATGTGAGTCTCTCTTAGTGTCCTCATTTTTGTCTAAGTTCTTTGGGATTGTGGTTTGTAGGCTGGTTTTCTTTGCTTTATGTTTAAAACCCACCTATGAGTGAATACGTGTGATAATTATCTTTCTGTGTCTGGTTACCTCACTCAAAATAATGTTTTTAGCTCCATCCATTTTCCTGCAAAATTCAAGCTGTTGTTTTTTTTTTTTTCTGCTGTGTAGTACTCCATTGTGTAAATGTATCACATTTTTCTTATCCATTTTTCAGTCGAGGGGCATTTGTGTGATTCTTTCAGTTCGGGGCAGCTGGGACAAACTAGCATCCTTCTTCCAACATGCATGCATGCACTCACAGGTAGAATAAATTTAAAGTAATAGCTCTTGTTCCTCTTGTTGCATATGAAGCATCTGTGCTCTTGGTTCTGAAAACAGTATATTTGTGGGTTAAAAGGTGACTTGTTTCAGGGTTATTGGCAATGACTTTTTCTGTTAGATGTAGGTATTTCAGGGGCGTGGTCCAGTTCTGAGAGCCTTCAGACAGCAGTGAAACTGTAGACCTGCCTACTACCCCACCTCTCCCAGCACCATGGTATCAGGTGACTGTCAGCAGCACCTCCCATATTATGTGTTGCAGGTAATGGCAGTGCCTTGGTGAGATTGCTGCAGGAGGGCACCTGCAAGCTCGAGGAACTCAGCTCCTATGGTGGGGAGGAACTGCAGCACCTCCTGGAGCAGTGTGGCATCCCATTTGGCCCGGAAGACTCCAGGGTGAGTGTCGGGAGCAGCTGTGGAGACTGGCTTTGGGAGCAGGAAGGATAATCTTTTTTCTGTACAAGTGATAAAGCCCATATCATTGGGCCCCTGTGCTAGGCATTGGGTTCTAGAAGTGAAGAAACCAAAGAAATAGCGGGAGCTAGATGGTGGCATGTATGTGATGCCTAGACTAGACTTAGGTGATTTTAAATTTGATTAGCTTCATTTACAAAATCAAAACAACTGGAAATTTACAAGGCTCTTGTAAAGAACATTTCACACAGCTCACACAGAGACTGGTTTTAGGCTCAAAAATGACTGTCGTTAATGTAGATTGTATGCTGTATGTAGATTTTAGCAGTACCTTACTTGCTTTCTGTGCTATTGAAAATAAGCTTTTTTAAATTCAGATTCCTATGGTTCCTCCTCTCTCAATGTTTCTCTGACAAGATAGGCTGACAGCTTCCTGTGTCTTCCTGAAGTTTACCTGTACTTAGAGGAAGGGTTGCCAGGTTCTAAGGCCTAGCAGCAGATCCCTGTGCTTTGGGTTTGGAGAGATGTTTGATACTGAGCCTTAGCATTTGTGCCTGAGCTTTAGCCTTTTCCTTCTCTCCAGGATCAGCTCTGCTTCTCCTTATTGGCCCTCTACGAATCTGTACAGAATGGAGCCAGAGCTAGACCGCCCCCCACTCACTTCACAGGGGGTAAAATCTACAAAGTGTGCCCCCATCAGGTAAGAAAGGAGCATGAATGAAGCATGGCTTGAGCTTGCTAATGTTGAACTGCCTACAGAGAATCCAGCTGATCCCTTTGGGACTAAGACATCCAGGGAATAATTGCCATTTGGGAGGCTGGAGAGGGAGCTTGGATCATTCAGTAATATATATTAAACACCCTACTATGTGCTGACCCTGAGTTGCCCAGTTGTACAGTGATAAAAGACAGAGATATTGTTCTTCTTTAGTTGACCTCCGATTGTCATGGAGAAAGTTACCACAGCTTGTGATGCTAGCTCTGGAGGAACTGAAGAACTGAGGTAGAAAGTAGGGGTGCACCTGCAATCTCGAGGCAGCCAGAGAAGGCCAGGCCCTGGGGATAAAGGAAGAGCCCAGAAGAGAGCCAGAGAAGTGACTCCTGTGACCATGTTATTCTGAACATGGTCAGAGGCCTTTAGGATAGTGTTGAACAGGAAATAGGGCAGTGAAATCACTCCAGATGCCCTAGAAGGAGATGGCTAGGGTAGATAGAAAAGGCTACAAGATAGGTCATGTATGGCAGAATTGGCCTGGGAAGATACCAGAATGGAAAACCCAGGACTAAGTGGGCATTGTCAACAGATTCAGTTCATAATGACATGAGCGTCAGGCAGAACTGGCCATAAAAGGAGGGTGAAGCAGCCAAGCACTGAACAAAGCTGGGGGCAGGGGCTTTGAAGCTTGCTCTCTGGCAGATGAACACTGCTGAGGGAGTGTGTTCAAATGTGCCATCGTCTTCTTCTGAGAAGGGATTCAAGTGCTTTGTTGGGACTGTGGCAGGGAGCACTTCATGTGGACATGACTGAGAAGTGAGTGTGAAGGCAGAGTTCTCCAGGATGCTCAGATCTGCACAGCACAGGAGTGACTGGAAAGTGTTGGTGGACGTGCTTACTCAGCTCCAGCAAAGGCTATTGTTTGGACAGCCTGTTGAGGTCTAATGGGAATCTTGCTCCGAATACTAGTGGCTCAGTCCAGTGGCCCTAAGCCTTATGTGTTTACATTGCCAGGATAGTTGGTAGGGTGATATGGATGGTGCAGGGTTTAGAGATGTTCTGAGGCACCTTTCAGCCTAATCTAAGTCCTAGCTGTTCTCAGGACAAGGATGAGCTGGTGACTTCCTTTAGGGATAGAACTAGGAGGGGAGGGTCAACACAGTGACTCAGTGGCTAAAGGTGCTTGCTAGGCAAACCCACCAACCTGAGTTCACCTCCGAATCCAGTGTGGAAGGAGAGAACCAACTGAGCCGTCCTCAGACTCGCTTTGTGTGCTGTGGCATGCACAAGCCTGCATTCACAATAGTAATCCTTTTTGAGAGGAGGAGGAGGAGAGGGACCAAATGTCATAGTCCCTGGCTTCAGTCATGAGGCTAGTCTTCCTCAAAAGAAGTGAGTGAGGGCCTACTCCAGCCCCTGCGTGCCGGCCACTTATCTCTGAACTACACACTCATCTCCCACAGGTGGTCTGCGGTTCCAAGTATCTTGTTCGAGGTGAAAGTGCTCGTGACCATGTGGATCTGCTTGCCTCTTCCCGCCACTGGCCACCTGTCTATGTGGTAGATATGGCCACACCAGTGGCCCTATGTGCTGACCTCTGCTACCCAGAGCTGACTAGTCAGATGTGGGGGAAGAACCAGGGCTGTTTCTCCAGCCCTACAGAGCCGGCTGTGGTGAGTCCTGTCCTAAGAGCAGGTAGAAATCCCTGGGGTACAGGAAGGCCACCCCCAGTTATCAGGAGGGCCCGCCTGGGAACTGTCTCTACCTTTCTTTCTTTCCATCAGTACTTTATCCTGATGCACCAGTCAGATTTACTGACTTACCACAGTAGGGGTTACAGTGTGTCATTTAGTGTGCTTGGAGTAGTCTACACAGGCATCTTGTATGAGAAGAGCTTGCTTTCCACAGAAGCCAGGAAATTGCTACCTTGGGGAAGGTGTGGTCACCCTGAAGCATGCTGTTTACTTGCACCATGAGTATGCTGTGGGGCACTCCTGCTGAGGTGTAGATACAGTGGTCTTAGAACTATAAGCAAAATCTAATTTTAATTTTTTTTTAAGATTTTTAAGAGCGGTGGGGTCTGAGGTTCAGCACTCAGCACCAATCTTCTCTGACCCCCTCCTTTGATTAGAAAAGGAAACTGAGACCCAGGGAGGGGCTCGGACTTGATCTGGTCATATAGCAGGTCAGTAAGAGAGTCCTTGTGTGTGTATCTTCCTGCATTGTACCAGGAGGTGGTCCCTGTGAGGGGCATGTGCACTGCAAGGCTTGCCTTTGGCCTTGATTAGAAGACACATTAGAGTTGATGCTAGGTGAGAAGAGTCACGGGAAGTGAGTGCTTCTGCACAAGTGCATTATGGGAGGTGAAAGTTTCTGGCTTGCTTTGGAGCAGACATTCTCCTCATTCTCTGGGGTTCTTGGGCTCCAAGAACTTAATAGAGACCCCAAAAGTTGTCTGAAGTATCCCTCAAAGCCACTCCCTCGCATTTCTCTGGTTCCTAAATTGTCCTGAAGCAATGATGACAGCTGAAGCAATGCAGCATCTGTGCTGGGATGACCCGTTTTCTGTTCTCATTCCTATAAGAAGAAATGGAGGCACAGGGGACAGTATGCAAGGGCTCTGGGATTTAAACAAGGCTGCTGACTCCACGGCTCCTGCTCTCTCCCACAAGATTCTCCCTCAATCATTCCCTCTTATAAAGTGTTTCTCTTCTCTTCTCTCCTCTAGAGTGTGTCCTGCCCTGAACTGGACCAGCATTATTCTGTGGATGTGCCAGAGGCTGAAAACTCTGTCCAGCATCCAGTCACCAAGACTGCCACACGGCGTATTGTCCATGCAAACACGAAGCCCGATCCCAGTGATCCTAGTGCTGGCCACCATTCCTTATCACTGTGCCCTGAGTTGGCACCCTATGCCTCCATCATGGACTGCAAACTCAACAGTGTCCGCCAGCGGCCCATTGCCTTTGATAATGCCACCCACTATTACCTCTACAACCGCCTCATGGACTTCCTCACCAGCCGAGAAATTGTCAACCGGCAGATCCATGACGTTGTGCAGAGCTGCCAGCCTGGCGAGGTGGTCATTCGTGATAACCTCTATCGCCTTGGGGTTGCTCAGATCAAGACAGAGGCACAGGAGGATGGGGAGGAAGAGGAGGGAGCCTCGGGGGCACAATAAGCCAGGTTGTCATGTACTGGGCCTATACCATCTCTCTCAAGCCATAATATGCCCTTGCCCAAGGCAGACCTATCAAGGGGACCTACAGTCCCCTGTAGGGAGGGCCTCTGACTGCTGGAACTGACCAAAGAGCTTCCATTTCATGAGCACAGTAGGGCCTTCAACCTCTGGGGCTCAGGAGAGGTGCTGGGAAACCTCTACTGGACCTGAGAGAGCATGTTAGGGGCATGATATTTTAGGAGAATGGCTGGGAGCTGGTTGTCCAGGCCCTCCACCACCTGTGGTCCCTGTACCAGGTGGGGAGGCCATTGAACTAGGCTGTCCCATGGGGAAGAGCTCTGGCTCCAGTCATACGGGTTTCCTAGCCTGTTGCCTTTGACTAGGAGCCTTAATGGCTTCTTCATTCTTGGGGTCCCTTTGGGCTCTTCGTCCTAAAGGAGGGGTGCATTCTCTTTTCCTCTAACTCTCCTTGTTCCCACTACTTGGGATGGCTGAGGAGCGAGGAACAGTCAGTTATAGCTCCCTCCAGGACTGTCCTCTGCCCTGGGTTTTGGGGAAGAGAATCCTTCCTCCTTTCTCTGGCCACTGCTACTGTACCCTACATCCTCCGGGCCCTTGGACCCTCACCGCAGAGGGGATGTGGCCCATTGTTGTGACATAGCTGGCAAGCAGTAGGAAAACTCCCTTCTGTGAAGGGGAAGCAGATAGGGCCATAAGCAAACAGCAGCACTGGCTCAGGTGCCCGTGGTTTGCTCGGGGCCCAGGGATTGGCCGAGTGCTCTTTAATTTATTGAGAGGGTGGGATAGGTGGCTTTCCCTCTCGCTCTTCCCCAACAAGAATAAAGTTTATTAAATTATCTGATTTTGAAGAAGCAAGAGCCAGTTCAATGCTCATTGTGTCCTTTTACTGTGGAAGCAGGCGCTTGCTACTCACTTCTCGTGAGGGGTTGATGGAAGGAGGTCCCAGGGAACTGGTAGGCACTTGTGTGGTACAAAGAACCAGACACTGCTGGCTGTGTTAATGCTGTTAGTTTAATGTTGACTGTTAATGAGGACAAATCACTTGGAGAGGAGCATGCAGTATTTGCTTGGTGTGGCCAGCCTTGCACCAAGGCCCCATGCCTTCTAGCTTAGAATAACAGGGTATAGATAAGAACACCCCTCACTTTTAGCTGCCACTTGGCTCATTCTAGCAGTACATTATCCTGGATGAGGTGGGACTATAGAGGTCAAGAGTAGAGACCAGTCCTGTGAGCTTAGGAAGGAGCCATCCTGCCTCAAGAAACCAGTAGTCTTTGAGCATGGCAGGGAGGCAGGCCCTCTGCTTACTACAGCCTTGGGAGCCTTGTCTTTCTGAGACATAAAGTCAGTCTTTCCGTTGAAACACAAGAGAGTTGGGAACAGGATGAAGATAGTGAACTAGGGGTGCATGAATTGGCATAGTAAATACAGGCTAGCACTGTGAAACCCCATTGGCAGTGATGGCCCAGGCTCTGGGAATGGGAAGCCTCTGACCTCCCCAAGACCCCTCAGGTTCTGAAGTTTCAGAGCTGGACCAAGCTGAGGACAAAGTTCATATGTTCTCCCCATGTCGCCCGTCTATGGAGGAGGTAGAGCTGGGAAGTTGGGAGCAGCAGCACTCCACTGCCCCACTTTAGCAGAACTGGTAATTATTGGGCTGTAGCAGGGGCTGGGCGACATCCCCTGGCTCACAGCAGGCCAGGTGCTCACTGGAGCTCTCCTCCTCTGGCTCGCTGCTGCTGCTGCTGCTGCTGCTACTGCTGCTGCTGCTGCCGCTGCCACCTCTGTCACTGCTGCTGCCGCTGCTGCTGCTGCTTGGCAGGTTAGCATAGTCCTGAGGGGGAAGAAAAGCCAGAGACAGTCAGCTGAGAACTTTGAGGAACAGCCCAGCCTGCTCTAGCCAGCCAGACAGCCATTCCATCCTTCTCACCTGCTCTTTCCTGTCCTGTTGGGCCTGCTCCTGAAGGAGGAAGCAGATCTGCTGGAAGGTGGGTCTCTTGGTAGGCTCCAGGTCCCAGCAGGACTGCATGATGCTGTATCTGGAGACAGAACAAAGTTTGCCCATGTCAGGGCATATCACTAGGGAGATAAACCTAGTGAAGGACCCCCAAAAGTAGTCAGAAGTAAGTTAGGGGCTAGAGGTATGGTCCAGTGGTACAGCACCTATTAGCATGCTTGAGGCTCCTGAGTTCAGAGTTTAGTATAGAACCTTAATATACTACAGATGGAAGCCTGGAGCCTTCTGGACAAAGACCAGGGCCACATGCTCATCTAACAAACCACCCAAAGCCTAGAATCCATTTGCCTCCCTTAGGGGCCTTTGCATACATGTTCCTTGGCGCAAATACAGGCTGGGCCATTTGGTATCCATCCTTCACCAGTTTGTAGAACTTGCTGTTCACCAGGATGCCTGGGTAGGGATTCAGTCCTGCAAAGGCCAGGAGTGTATAAGAGACCACCCTTGCTTACCCCTTCCCCGCCCACGTGTATCTCAGGCAGCGTGTAAAGGCCCTATCCCAGCTGTAGTTAGAGCAGGAACTACTCGCATGCCCAGGACTTCCTAGGTGAGGTTTACGCGGTAAGCGCGCTTAGGCTTTGGGAACCCATAGCCTTCAGCCCCTCATCACCAAGCACAGAGGGTCCAGCATAGGCTTTGGAAATAGATGGAACAAAGCCTGGATTGCAAATCAGCAAAGAGGTGATGCCACATGACTTGGTAGTACAATTACGGACTCGGCACAAGGGCCCTGTGCCTACTCCCCCGTAAATGGGAGCTAGATGGTGACTAGCAGCATGACATCTTCAATGGCATTTGGCAGGTGGCATTCTAGATAAAAGCTACTGCCAACCAAGCAGAGGCAAGTGAAGGAAGGACTCAGGAAATGTGCATTGTGTGGGGTGTCTGGATTGTATACCGGTACTGCTGCGCTGGTTCAAGAGCCCTTGCCAGCTCTTGCTGTGTCTTGGACACCAGGCGGCTTTGAATAGATTTCATCCACAAGGCTCAAGACACCAGTCGAGTAGCCAAAGACAGGTCAGCTCTAGACTGTGCCAGAAGCAGGCTTAACAACTCACCAAGTGAGAAAATCTCCCAGAGGAGGATTCCGTAGGACCACACATCACTCTGAACTGTGTAGACGCAATCGAAGATGCTCTCTGGGGCCATCCACTTTACAGGCAGGCGGGCCTGACAAGACAGTCCCACGTCACTAGGGGCCGTGGCTCTACACAGCCTGCCCGACCAGTCAGTCACATTAGCTCTCAGCACTCACATTGCCCTTGACGACATAGTTGGAATCATTCATGATGTCCCTCGCCAGCCCAAAGTCCCCGATCTTGGCCACGTGTCCACTGGTCAACAGTACGTTTCGAGCTGCTACATCCCGGTGGATGCACTGAGGAAAACACAAGCCAGGAGGGGGAGTGTGAGATCTTGGGTCCCTGATGAGGGAGCAGATGGCAGGTTTTGGTAGTCTACTCTCTACTCCTGTTCAAACCTGTGCAGGCCTGAGCTCTGAGAGAATTTCATGTGGCCAGTTTAACATTTAGAAAGCCCCACAGCCCTGTCTCCCGCACTCCTTGCCCTCTGAGCAGCAGTAACAACTGGGCGGTTGCTACCTCAGAAGCAATGGTCCCTCTGCTGTGAGCACCAGCCCACATCATTCCTAACACCGACAGCTGCCACCTCTGGACATACAGAACCAGAACATTTGCATAACACAATAACCTATTAGACCTCCTAAACAGTTCGTGAGAGTACCCATTTTTATAGGCACAGACCTTGAGGCTTATGGACTCTGAACACAGCAAAGAACGGAACCAGCAATCAAACCCTCAAGTCTGCTCTGGGGGCAGCGGAATGAGCCCTTGAGTTCTGACATCCTTATAGCTCAGCCAGCAAGACTAAGTGCTTCATGAAGAAAAACAGCTGTTACAGTTGTTAAGCTGTTAAGCCTGTTCATGGTCACGTAGGAAAACCAAACAGGCATGCAAAGGCCCGGGGCCAGGCCTCCAGGAGGAGCCTGCCTCAGCACCGTTCCCTCCCACCACCTCCTCTGTAAACTGCCCACTTACTCTCTCACACTCCCACCCCCCACTGCTTCTCCCCGGGCCCCCTCCCCTTCCCTTCTTCCTTCCCACAGTCAGAAGGAAGTTCAGCCTCCCCTCACCCAGACTCACGTTTTTAGAAGCCAGGAAAGCCATGCCCTGAGCCACTTGGCTGGAGAAGTGGAGAAGGTCCCAGAGCTCCAGTGGCCGGCTGGCCTCTTTGTCCAGATCTAGGAAAAGGCATCCAGGCGACCCCGTCACACTTTGCTCCTCCTCAGCCCCAGTCCCCAGCCCCTAGGCCCACCCTGGCCCTGTCCCGATACCTCCGCACCTTGTTCAAAGAAGGAGTCATTTGAAGACGTAGAGACAGGCCTCATCTCCACATAGGTGTCTACGCCCTGACTGGAGAAGCCGCTGTCCCTGGATCGGAAAGAGAATTGGGAAGTGATCGATGCCCAGCCCTGCAGAGCCTAGCCCAGGCATTGCCCTCCAGCTGCCCTGTGGACTCCCCGAGTCACTCAGCAGAGGGGAAGGAACCTAAAGGTCAGCCTGAGTGTCCCTCTCTGATAAGGAAGGCCCCATGCCATATTCTACTTAAGCAATCATCGTGCCCTGCTTAGCCATCCCCAGTGCCAGAGACACCCACCCCATCCTGTCATTGGGCTCTGCCTGATGGAGGGCTTTGCTGCTGCTAATACCAACGTCTCTCTCCTCAAAGGCAGCCCTGCTGGAATGTGAGTGCATTCCAGGCCCCTTCCCTGACCTGATCTCGCCCTACAGTATCTCACCAGCTGGTTTCTCATTAAAAATTACTCCAGGAGGGTGGCACTATGGCTCAGTGTAAAGGCACTTACGGGCTGAGCCCAATCCCAGGGACCATATGATGGAGAGAGACCCAGCTTATATATCAACACTACAAATAACTGTAAAAAGAAAAAAAAATAAAAATTTAAAAATTGTACAGGAAGAGGCCTGGAGAGATGGCTCAGTGTGCTTAGTTGGAGAATCCTGGTTTGGTTCCTGAACCACAGGGGCTCACAGCTGCCTGTAGCCCCAGTTCCAGGGTATCTGGCACCATCCTGGCCTCTGTGGGAACCAGAAAAACATATGGTACTCACACACACGCAAACACACACACACACACATTCATACATACTTAAAACCAATTGCTTGGGGGGGTTAACATTACTCATGCCCCCTGGCAGCCACTAATAGCATTAAATTTGCCCAAATCTAGAGCAGAGCTTAAACTGGCTTAGGGCATCTGAGCCCCAGGGAGATGTTTTTGTTGTTGTTGTTGTTGTTTTGTTTTGTTTTGTTTGTTTGTTTGTTTGTTTTGTGAAGACTGGGGCTCTGTAGGCTTGGGTGGACAGGCAACACCAGGGATACCCAGGCTTTCCCTGTGGGTGGTGAGCCGCCTGTAGAAGCACAGCCCTGTCCTGAAGAGCCACTGTTGATGCTAAGCAGCCAGCCAGATCTGGTTTGCCAGCAAGCTATTGCCCATACTCTCAGCCTTCCCAGAAGAGAAACTCAGGTCTCCATTAGGATCCATCCATGGCACAGTCAGCATCTCCTCGTTCTGGAAACCACACGTCTGTAATAGCATAACTTGAGTTCCCCAGGTAGGTCCCATTTAGGTGCCACTTGCTCCTGAAATGTCCCACTCTAGGGACGCTTTGATTGTATGTACACTTAAAGAAGGAAGCTAGGGAACCTCCTTCTCCTTTGGCTCCCCCGGCCTCAGCAGCAGCCAGGGCCTTCACTACAAGCACAGAGTGCACTCCCCTGGTTCTGAGCATGGCCT